AGAGAGAAAAAAACGAGGGGGGAGAGCGACGGACCAGAGAGAAAAAGGAAAGAGAGAGAAAAGCAAAGGGGTAAGAGAAAAGGGAAGGGGGGGGGGGGGTCATGGCAGGGAGGCGGTGTGGCGGGGAGTGCCTCTCGCGCCCGCTTGGCTGCCGCCGCCTCCGCCTCCTCCAGCTTGCGCTTCTCGGCGCGGCGGTGGCTGCGCAGCGCGCGGCAGCCCGACTCGTGCGGCTCGAGGCTGCCTCGCTCGCTCACCCACCCGCAGCCGCCCGCGCAACACACGAGCTCTTTCGCGCACGGCGCGTGGTCGCGGAGCGTGGCGCGGGTGAGCTTGGCGTGGCAATGCTTGCAGCTGGCGGGGACGTCGGCGAGGAGCAGCTCCGCTAGCCGACACCGCGACGCGGCGTTCTCTGCTGCAGAGGTCGACGGCAGCTTTGAGCGGCAGACGGGGCAGCAGTGCGACGACGCGAGGCCACTCATGGTGTGGCGGCGCAGGCAGTGGCCGCAAAAGATGTGGCCCTCGGGGCACTGCACGATGGGCCCCGACGTCGGAAGCTCAAGGCAGATGCCGCACTCGACAAGCGCGCATGCCGGGGTGCGCTGAACGTAGGAGTCTCGCTCGGCTACGCACTCCGCGCAGCCGCAGGGGGTGGCGTCCGGCGTGAGGCGGGCAGCCTTTGCCTGCTCAAGGACGCTGTCGCTGTAGCAGGCCGGCCGGGGGGCGACCATTGGCATGTCGCGGACGGATGGCATGCGGCTCTGCACTGTGTCGGAGCGCCCACTCCGCTTTCCTACGAGATCGTTCGGCGCCGACTCTACTCTCACAGAGGTGTTTTTTTAAAGGATAAATTTCAGATTACCCGGTTTTTGAGATTCGCCTCGCAGATTACCCGACGAACGATATTTTCCTGCTTAGCGCGATTTCCGTCAAACCAGTTTACCCAGTCTCCCACAATTCGTGTTTCAGCTTACCCGGTCGCTAAAATTTGTCATGTCAGATTACCCGGTCGGCCAAATTTCTCGTCCAGATTACCCGGCAACGATATTTTCCTGCTCAGCAGCAATTTCATCAAAAAACTGAGAACCAGTTTACCCAGTCTCCCACAATTCACGTTTCAGCTTCCCCGGCCGCTAACTTTTCTCATGTCAGATTACCCGGTCGGCCAAATTTCTCGTCCAGATTACCCGGCGGCTAACTTTTCTCTTTGAGATTACCCGGGGGCGCGCAAATTTCTCGTTTCAGCTTACCCGGACGCGAGCGTGCACCTCGTCCAGAGAGCGAGCACCTGCGGCACTTGGTCCTAAGGGGTCCCGTACCATGCGGAATCGACCCTATCCGGTGCTCAAGTGCTCAAGGAGAGCTCCCACTCGGAATCCCCGGCCTCGTTTGCTTGAATGACGCAGTCGTGAATCCCAAACGGTTTCAGATTTTACCCGGCGCATCCCACTACCGGGTGATCTGGAAAAAGAAATTTCACCTTCCGTGTAACCTGGAAACGACATTTCGCCGTGTTGGGTAAGAAACCTGGAAACGACATTTCGCCGTGTTGGGTAATCTGGAAACGACATTTTGCCGCACCGGGTGATCTGAAACCGCTCACGCCGGGTGATCTGGAAAACGCCGGGTGATCTGCGAGGCGAAGCTCAAAACCGGGTGATCTGGAAAAAGAAATTTCGTGACCGGGTAACCTGGAAACGACATTTCGCCGTGTTGGGTAATCTGGAAACGACATTTCGCCGTGTTGGGTGATCTGCGAGGCAAAAACTCGCAGACGCCGGGTGATCTGAAAAACGCCGGGTGATCTGCGAGGCGAATCTCAAAAACCGGGTAATCTGAAATTTATCCTTTTTTAAAGGTTCCCGCTGCCAGTTTCGGGGAACCCCGCCCGCCCCCTAGAGCCCCAGGTAAGGCCTAGGTGTGGCCTAGGGCATCAGAAGGGACCAAGAGGAGTCCAGTCTGAGCCATAGAGCCGATGTCTTTGCCCCCGAAGGTCGCGTTCAAATGCGAGAGAGAGAGAGAATTCTTGATTGATACGAAACCACGACGACACACACCAGTCGACTCGCATCGGTTGCCTCCATGAACGGCGGAGCTATTCTCGCGTCCACACCACACCTGGCTCCAACGTGGACACGCCCATAGCTGGGGACACTACTAGGTCACGCATGGCATCAGAAGTTTTAGTTTATCTCTGGGCCCCGAAAGGCATCTCTAGCAGCGTCGTTACGCATGCGCCCTCCCCTCCTGGGCGCATACGCCTCACGTCTCGACAGAGCATAAGCCCTTGGTGTGCCACGAGACGAGTTTTTCGCCATCGCCGCGAGCAGCAAAGCCGCCCGCCGCAAACAGCCGGAGGCATCGCCGCAGCACTGTCTGCGCTGCGCTCCCGCACCCGTCGACGAAGCTCCCCCCGCGGAAGACCGCGCGTAGCGACGCCTTGTCGTTCGAGATGAGCGCGCTTGAAGCCCGCCCACCTACTGCCCCTGAGAGTTGGTTACCGAGTGGGATCAGCTCCCCCCCTTGGGATCGAAGCTTCCACGACCTCGCACCCAACACCACAGGCGGGATCAGAGAGAGACTCCACACCGGACACCGCCCGGGCACAGACCCCCTACCCGTCGGACAATGCCTGGACCCCTCACAGAGCGGCCCACACACAGATCACGCATCGGCAGATTTCACGCCTGGATCAGGCGTAGACAGCACACACTTGTCACGGTTGCATAGCCCTGCCGGGGGGGACGAGTTCGCAAGGTTAATATTAAAAGCATACAAAGTGGTGACAACCACTGAGTTCTCAGTGGACGAACGAGCGTCGACCGAACAGAAGAGCGTCCCCACGACGCCTCGGTGCCTCCCACCGGTGTGGAGACCATCCGGATCAGCCGGGTTCGCCCTCCGGACGGACCCGTTCCCGCGATGGCCCACAGTCCTCCGTCACCAAGTTGAACCCCCTTCCCCCCCAGTCCTCGTACTCGACCACGATCCCTCTCGACCTCGTACTCGACCTACCTTCCTCCCCATCACTGATCCAGCCCCGATCCTCCACCTCCACCTGAATGCTTCAGCTCATTTCGTTGATCTCTCACCGCTTATTTGTCACGTGACAAACCATGCCTCGCCCCTTATGTTCCGCGCTCGCATTCGACCTGACGCTGTCCCTTGCCCTGCCCAGCCTCTCTCTCTCTCTCTCTCTCTCGTTCAAATGCCCGGATCCCGCGGAACGGCCGTCTCACGCCTCACGGTCTCTCTTTCGCTACGTGTTCGACGTCTTTAGACCGTGCGCGTCTTTTGTGTATGTGGCTTACTTACATTCCCGGAGGAGGACTGCTGACAGGGTTTGCGATGAGGAGTGACCCGTTTTCTATCACGAACCCGCAACCGGCCTGCTCCAGACGAACCCTTCCAACGGGGGATTGAAAAACTAGATGTCGGGGTCGCTGCTCATCGCAAACCCTGTCAGCAGAGTCCTCCTCCGGGAATGTGCGTGCCACAAAGACAGGGACCGGAGAGATAAAAAAGTATGTTGCCGCGCAACCTCTTCCGCAAACGTGCATGTGTGTATGGAGCCCACGAGCAGCGCCGAGGACGCCGGAGTCTACTCCGTCTCCGTGCGTGGCCGCGCGCAGATCGCGCACTCCTTCAAGGGCGAGCTCTTTGGCGCCGCGCAGGCCCTCCACGGCTGCACGTATGTCGTCGACGCCGTCTGCAGGGGCGTGCAGCTGCAGGCCGGCGCCAACTACCTCGTCGACATCTGCGCCGCGGAGAGTGCGCTCAAGGCGGCGCTCGCCCGGTACGACCGCCGTAACCTCGACGACCTCGCCGAGTTTGCGGGCGACAACACCACCTGCGAGCGGGTCGCGCGCGCCGTCTGGGAGCGGGTCGCGGCCGCTCTGCCGCGTCCGCCGGCGCTCGCCTCCTTGCAGATCGTGGTGCGCGAGAGCGACGTGGCGCGCGTCGAGTACGAGCGCTCGCTCGGTGCGTCGGACGGTGGCCTGTACTCAGTCTGCGTGCGGGCCCGCTTCATGGCGGCGCGCACCCTAGCCGGCGGTGTGGAGGGGTCGACGTTTGTGGTGGACGCGCTCTTCTCGGGGCGCGAGCTCGACCCGCGCGCCACCTTCCTCTTCGACATCTGCCTCGCCGAGGAGCTGCTCCAGCGGGCGGTGGCGCACCTCCACCAGACGCACCTCGACGAGCAGCTGCCGCACCTCTTTGGCGCAGGCAAGCCGCCGCCGACGGCGGGCGCGATCGCGCGCGTGATTTGGGAGGCGGTCGCGGAGGGGCTGCCGCCGGAGCACCGGCTGGCCGGCCTCAAGGTGCTCGTCCGAGAGCACGACGAGGCGGCGGCAGAGTACTCTCGACCCCTCGCGCCTGCAGACGGCGACAGCTGCGGCGGCGACAACTGCGGCGGCGGCACAGGCGCGGCGCCCTCCCGAGGAGAAGGGACCGTCGTCCGACGCGGCCGCTGCATGATCGCGCACTCCTTCCGGGGGGAGGCGTTTGGGCCGGCGCAGGCCCTCCACGGCTGCACGTACGTCGTCGACGCGCGCTACTCGTGCGGCGGCTCCGAGGCGGCGGCCGGCGGCCCGTTCTCCGCGCCGCCGCATGGCTCGTCGCCGCTGCCGGCGGAGGCGCCCGAGCTGCTGCTGCGCCGCGCACTGGCCGCGTACCACCAGCGCAACCTCGACGAGCTGGCCGAGTTTGAGGGCGAGAACACGACCTGCGAGCGAGTCGCGCGAGGCCTGTGGAGCCGCGTCGCCGCCGCACTCCCTCCCCGCAGCGGCACGGCCGCCCTCGAGGTAGTCGTCCGGGAGAGCGACGTGGCGTGGGTCTCCTTCCGCCGCGCCTTGCCGCCGACCTCGACGGGGGCGCCCAGACCGGCCGCCATCGCTCTCGACTTGGACTCGCTGCTTGCGGCCGCGCCAGACGCCTCGCCGGATGCCGCCTCGGGGCGGGCGGCGGTTGAGGAGGCGGGCGCGGGCTCGCCGACCGGCATCGTCCACCGCAGCCCGCTCGCGGCCCTCGTCGCGGCGATGCCGACGCCGCTGGTCGCTTGGACAGCGTTGCCGCGCGAGGAGGCCGGCGAGGCGTTGGCGCGCTGCTGCGGCCTCAGCGCGGCGGCGCACAACGTCGCGTTCCGCCGAGCGGACGAGGCGATTGGCGAGGGGGCGGGCGAGGCGATGGACGCGGCGACGCCACACTCCTGCGGTGCCGTCTCGGCCGCGCCCCCGTACGTGGTCATCACCGCCTCTGAGGCCACCCGCGCGAAGCTTCCGCCACACGCCGGCGCCTCCCTGCCCCTCCTCGGCCGGGGCTGCGCCGCCGACCGCGCGCTGCTTGCCGCGCTCGGCTGCACGTCCCCGCGCACAGACGACGCGCAGCAGCGCGTCGCGTACCTGACGGCGAAGCGGCCGGTGGACCGGGCGGCGTACAGCGGCGCGGTGCTCACCGCCCTGCAAGAGGCGCTCGCCGCGCGGCTCGCGTCGTGCCGCGCCGGCGCGGCCGCGGCGGGCGGCGGCGCGCGCACTCCGCCGCTGCGAGTCTTCGATGTCGGCGCGGGGACGCTCTCCATGTTCCCGGTGGTGCGGCGCGCCGCAGAGCGAGCGGGCTGGGGGGCGATGCACTACTGCGCCTTCGACACGGACGACGCCCTCCTCGCCGCCGCGCGGAGGGAGCCCGGCCACGCCGACGCCCTCAGCGCCGCCTCGGGCGGCGGCGGCGGCGGCGGCGGCGGTGGCGAGTTGGTCGCGCGGCTCGAGCTCCACTGCGCCGACGTGCGCGCGCTCGAGGCGCAGGTGGGCGTCGGCGAGGGCGGCCTCGCTCCGTGCGACCTCCTCGTCGGCTCGGGCTTTGCGGACCTCTTTGCGCCCGCGCAGCTCACCTCGCTCCTCGCGCGCCTCTGCCCAGGCGCCTCTGCCCGCCGGCCCCGGCCGGCCCCGCGGGTTGTCTCACGCCCAGCCGCTGCGCAGGCGGGCTCGCCTACCTGCCGATCACCTTCGCCGGCGCCACCCGCCTCGAGCCCGCCGAGGGCGGCGCGGGCAGCGTGCCATCCGACGCGCGCCTGCGAGGGCTTGCCGCGAGAGCGCCGCGGGTGCGCGCCCCTCACAGCTGCTCGCGCGGAGTAGGCGCGCGTGATGGGCGCCTACCACGAGCACTTGCGCGCGCAGGGCCAGTTCCTCGAGCCGCAGCGGCTGGTGGACGCGGTGTGCGAGGCGGGCGGCGCCCTCCTCAAGCGCGGCGCATCGCCTTGGCGCATCGCGGCCGACGCGCCCTTCCACGCATGGATGGTTGACTTTCTGGCGGCCGGGACGGCGAGGGCCATGTGGGCGTCCGGCTGGGACCCCGTGGCGTGGCGGTGGCGCGTGCTCCACGAGCGGCGGCCGACTGTCGTCGCGGATAACGTCGATCTGCTGCTGCGGCTGCCTCGGGCCGTCCCGTCGCCCATCGAGTAGTTCGAATATTGGAGGTTTATCCTTCTTCGTGACGAAAAAAAAACAAGCGCCTTGCGCACCCACCACAAATGCATCGGTGGCGAGCGGCAGCTCGACACAGCGCGCGTCGGCTCACGCTGACGCGCGGCGGGCGCCGCTGGCAGAGCGGCGGTCGGACAGACGGCTACGAAGAGGTGCCGCCGCCGCGTCCCGCCCTTGCGCTGCTCCCCTCGGCTGAACCTCTCTTGCCCGGCACTCTCTCGCCCGGCAGGCGCTGCCACGGAGGGACGTCATCGCTCCTCTGGTGGCCTGCGGCGTGTGGGCGGGCGGCTGGTACATGGCGGAGGAGGGCAAGATCAAGGCGCTGGTGGATAGCTCAAACATCGACCCCAACCCCGACCCGAATGCGTGGCCGACGCCCAAGCAGTTCTTCTGCCTCGCGTGGCCGTGGGTCGCGGGTACGGTCGCGATGCTCTTCGACTCGGTGGCGGCCAAGTTTGCGACGACGAGCGACATGAAGTTCCTCTGCACGACCGCGCTCAACGACGACATCAAGGCCACCACCGCGCTCTGCATCCTCGCCGCGCCTGCCGAGCACTCTGCGCCGTTTGTGCGCGCCATCGCAGAGACGGGCGCGCCTCCTTCGCCGGCGGCCTCGCATCTGCGGCCTCCCACCCCGGGAGCATGACTGCGTGACCGCAGGCGCGCTGGCCCGCATCCGCGAGATCGTCGCCATCTACAAGACTTTGCCGCGGGAGCAGCACGACGAGACGCTGACCAACGCGTGCGTCATCGCGTCAAAGGTACGAGACACGACCGAGACGCGAATCGGAGACGACCCCGAGAGGGGCCGAGAGAGGGTGGTTGCGACGCGCTGACCCGCGCGTTGCCCGTGTCCAAGGTGGCTGCCGATCCCGAGCTGCGCAGCCAGGGCCTTCCGATCGGCGACCTGCCCTGCAGGACGCCGCACGCGCCACGCGCAGCGACCCATCGCTGAACCTTCGCGGAACGTGCCGACAGGCGACTTCTTGTGGATGATGCCGGCCGGGCCGCCGCAGCTGTACACCACCTACGGCGCGGAGGGCGTCGCCCACTTGTGGATGAGCCACCCCGCCGAGATGCTCGCCGGAGGCGGCGTCGGCAACGCGGCGGGCCTCGCGGAGGGCGTCTCCCTGTCGAACCTCGCAAACCTCGTGACGACCGAGCTGGCGGCGAGGCTGCTCGACCGGTTCGGAGAGCAGCGTGAGGCGCGGCCCGAGACGCCGCCGAGATGCGGCTCGAGATGCGGTTGAGATGCACGAGACGCGGCCCGAGAGACCTCTCCCTCGCCACACCCCTCCCTTGCCACCGCCGGCCCGGAGAGGCACTCCATGGGAGAGGCACGCTTGAGCGGAGCACGCTTGGGTGGGCTCTCCCGCCGCCCGGGAGATCCGGGAGGGCGAAGAGGGACTCGCGCTGCGCCCCTTCGCCGCCGCCCGCCGCCGAGGTGCCGCCGAGGTGCCGCCCAGCCGCGCGCAGGCTCTCCTCTCCACTGCGACCGAGCTCGAGGCGCGGCTGGGGCGGGAGGTGCGCGCCGCAGGGGCGGGCTCGGGCCGCAAGAACCTGTGGCAGGCGAGACGCGCGGCGGGTGCGAGAGGCCGAGCCTCGCGCGGCGCCTCTTTGACAGACACCTCCCCCCCGCGAGCAGGCGACCGGAGTCCTGCGCGGCGAGACCGAGGTGGAGGTTGCGCGGCGGGAGCAGCGCGAGCAGCTCGCCGCTGTGCAGTCGGCGCGCCAGATCCTGCAGGCGGGCGCGATGCAGTCGACGATCCGCACGCCGCTCGACGAGCCGCTCGGGCTGCGAGGCGCGCAGCAGGGGCGCGACGCGCGCGCGTGACGGCTCGGCCGCGACACGTCCACCGCCGCCCCGCGCGCAGGCACGTTGCTCGAGCGCGTCGCTCCGCTGATGCACGTCGCTTCCGCCGCCGCGCTCGGCTTCGTCTACGGCGCCGGCCGCGGCTACCTCCGCGGCTACTGGCAGGCGGTCTCCTCCCGACAGAGGGGCGCAGAGACCCCGCCGTTCGCTCCGCGCACGGCCGAGAGACGCGCCGGAGGATGCCCAACCCACACACAACGCCGCGACGCCGTCGCCGCAAGCTGGCAGGACCGTCTCGCTCCCCCTCTCGCCTTGCGACGCCCGCCCCCTTCCCCTCCGCAGGACGTGACGCCATCTGTCTGCCGCGAGCTCTCCTCCGCCGTGGGACGGCGGACGGCGGTCGGCGCGGCGCTGCTCGTCGTCGCCTTTGAGATGCTCCCGCGCGCCAAGGCCGAGCCCGATAGAGGCGGACACTGCGCAGCTGGCTGTACCCTTCCGAGGAGGCCGCCATGGCCGCGAATGCGTGTCTTGCCGCCACCCAGCTGCCGCCACCCAGCGCAGAGCGGGCCGCGTCGCCCCTCCGCTGACGCCGAGGAGCGCACGTAGCGCGCGGTCAACCCCGGTCCACCCCCCCCCCCCCCTCCGCAGGCCGAGGCCTTGAAGGCGTTGGGCCGAGAGGAGGTGACTGACTTCAAGGCGGCGGGTCTCCTCGAGCAGCTGCTTCTTGGACCCTTCTCGGGACCCTCTCAGAGCCTCCGCGTAGGCGGCTGGTGCCCTCGAGCAGCTCGCCGCTTCGGACGGGGTGTACGTCTTCTTGCTCGCTGCCCTCAACTTCGCCTTCCCGTACATCCTGCTGCCGGTCGCAATCAACCCGACCCAGCTGCTGGCGCCGCCGGGCCGCACCCGCCGAGGCGTGCTCGGAAGACGTCCGGGATGCGTGAGGGGAGGTGCGCGTAGGTGCCGCCGAGCTCACACGAGTTCCCGCACAAGCCGACTTCCACGCCGTGAGCTCCCGCGCCGAGACCACTGCGGCGGCGCCTCCAGTCCCTCGGCTTTGCGCTGCCGCCGGGCACCTCCGCACCGACCGCAAGGCTCTCTGGCGGAACGAGTGGGCCCGTCCGAGCCCCCCCGTCATGGCGCGCATTCGCCAAAATACCGTGGGCTGCGGCCAGCGACCAGGAGGATGCAAGCCGCCGCGAGAGCTGAGACGCCACGCGAGGTGGATGGGCCTGTCTCCTCATATACACACCATGTGGGGCTTCTTTATGCTATTTACACACGTCATGTGTGTGTGTTGCGTTTGTGGGACCAGAACTTCTTTTCTTAACGCGGTAGCAATGGATCGGTCCGGAGCGCTTTGTTGTTTGTATATTCAGAGCGCTTTGTATATTCAGAGCGCGCGGCGCGCAGCTGCGCGCGGCGCCGTGTGACTTCGCGTGACCCGTGAGACCCGGGTCGCGAGAGTGTCAGAGAGCGCACCGCGCAGGCCTGCGCTCCTCACGCGACCACACACGCGCATGCCCTGCGCCATCCCCCGCATCCCCCCGGCGGCGGCGGCCGGCGCCAGGCCGCCACGCGCGACAGCAAGACCGCTTAGGCGCGGGAAGAGCCTGCCAACTCAGTAAGAAGAGGGCCGCGACACTGCTACCGGCCCTGTGCCCGCGACTGCGCTTATTAAGTCTGGCGCGGTCTTCGAGCTTGGAGAAAATCTGAGCGTGCTGAGGCTCTTGCCCAGGTAGGGGTTACTCCGTCGAAACTCCTGAAAGCCGTTGCCGGTACGCGACATGAACTTGACCGCGCCGCCGTGCGCCGGTTTCTTCTTAATCCGCTTGCGCCGCGCGTCCACTCGGCGCGAAAGAAGCGAGTAGCAGTTCAGCGCCTGCTGCCACACCAGCGAGAAGAGGCCGGCACCGACGCAAAAGAGCCACTGGTGCGTGGTGAGCCCTCCCTCCGCGCAGCGGAGCGCGCGGCCACCGAATTGGACAGCAAGCACCTGCAGGGAGAGTGTGGCGAGAGGTATGGAGGAGATAGGGTAGTAGGACCATAGAGTGTCTCGGCTCTCTCTCTTGCACGAGCACCTGTAGCACGAGCGTGCCGAGGAGGACGCCGACGAACCACGCGTTCGAGCAGACGCCCGCAAACACGTTGAACTCGCCTTCAAGCTTGCGGCAGTTGACCTCGTTGCAGAGCGTCATCAGCACAAAGGCGTTGAACAGGATGGTGTAGTGCACCGACGGCTTCGAGTCGTCGACGTCGTGCCCGTCGAGGACGTGAAAGTGCTCGGCGCCTACCCCGCAAGCCAACGGCGTGAGCAGCGGCTCTTCACAGCTGTGAGGTCCGTCGGTGGTCGGCGCCGTGGAAGAGGACGAAGAGGGTCACGCCCAGCTGGTAGGCGGCCTGCAAGCGCGGATGCAGCCCGAACTTTCTAGCCGAGCCGAGTAGCCGAGCCATGCAGCCGAGATGTCCCGAGCTGGTGCGCCTGGCCGAGCATGTTGATCCACATCTGCCGTGTCACGATCGAGGTGGACCGGTTGACGGGCGGGCGCGCGAGCAGCTCCTCCGAGGGCGGCTCGGTCGACAGGGCGAGCGAGGCGAGCGAGTCCATGATGAGGTTCACCTAGAGCAACCGCGACACGCCCGTGCCTACCCTGCCACGCGAGGAGTTGCTCCGCCCAGAGCATCGGCACCCAGAGCATCTGCACCGCCGCGATGGGCGACTCCTGAAAGACGATGGAGCCGATGATCGCGAGCGAGACGGCGACAATGTTGACCGTCAGCTGGAACTGAAGAAATTTGGAGATGCTCGCGTAGACGTTGCGGCCCCACTTTGCGGCGACTACAATCGAGGCAAAATTGTCGTCCAGCAGGACGATATCGCACGCGTCCTTTGCTATCTGCGTTCCGGCAACCCCCATGGCGAAGCCGACGTCGGCGCGCTTTAGCGCCGGCGCGTCGTTGGTGCCGTCGCCCGTCATGGCGACCACCTGCCTGTCGGGGAAAACGACGATTCCCTCCCGGCGCAGCTCCTCCACTTGCTGCGCGTCGGCGAACACCGTCGACTTGTTGAGCCCGTTCGCGAGCGTGAGCTTGTCGGCGGGCGACGAGCGCGCGAGCACGCGCAAGTACGGCCACACCTTATCGAACTGCGTCTGCAGAAACTCGGGCTTGCCCTCCTCATCGAGGGCGAGGCTGCCGTCGGCGTGCGTCCGGTGCACGAGCGCGCGAAACTCGCGGCCCTCGAGCGCGCGCTTGGGCTTGGGCCGCTCGCCAGCCGCGTGCGCCGGGTCAGGCTCGAGGTCCTGAGCACTCGCGGGGAGTGGGACGTGTCATGGACGCGTCGCGGGGCGCTCACGGACGCGTCCAGCGCGAGGGCCTGCGGCCGCAAGATGCCGCAGTTCTTTGCGATCGCGACGGCGGTGTCGAGGTTGTCGCCCGTGACCATCCTCACGTCGATGCCTAGGGGACACGTCTTGGACCTCTCGTGGACGTGGCGTGGGGACGCTGCGCCGTCGCAACCGCAGCGCGTCGGCGCCTGCGCGATTGCACCGCTCGATGGCCCCAGGCACCTCGGGGCGCAACGGGTCAGCGATGCCGGTGAGGGCGAGCAGCGTGAGGCCGGTCTCCGCGACGTAAGCCGCGGAGCCGTCCGCGTTTGTCATCGTGGAGTGGGTCGCCTCGAGCTCCTTGGACGAGGCGGACTTGACGCCGGGCAAGTCGCGATATGCGAGCGCGATGGTGCGGTACGCCTCGCCCGCAAAGGGGCGCACCACAGTCTCCATCAGCTGCTGCCGCTTGGCGTCGGACAGCGGCGCCGCCTCGCCGCTCGCCGAGAGCATCGCGTCGCAGCGCGCGATGACGATCTCGCTCGCGCCCTTGCAGTAGACGCGGTAGCCGCCTCGCGGCAGCGGCACCGCCCAGCTCATCATCTTGCGCTTGGACGAGAACATGAAGGGCTTGCCTACGCGCGCGTCCCCGCTGTGAAGAGGCGCTCTTGACAGCGGGCGCGCAGCTACGGAAGAGGAGGCTTGCCCCGCGCGGCGGTGGCGAGGGAGCGGCCTGGCGTGTCGTGGCGCAGCGCCGCGTAATCGTACCCCATCTCCGCAACGAGAGAGAGCAGCGCGCACTCTGTGGGGTTCCCCTGCGGTTGCGCCGGCGGCTGGGGTGGGCAAGAAGGGCCGGGCGGAGGGTCGGGGGCGGGAAGGAGAAGGGCGGCCTTGAAGCCGGTGGCGCCGGTGGCCTCGTTCACCTCGAGGAAGGACTGGCGGGCGCGCGAGGGGCGGGGTCAGGGGGAGGGGGGGGGGGGGGGGGGGCGTCAGGAAAGGTGTCGCGGGCGCCGGCAGCCGTTTCGATGTGTCTGAAGGGGGAGGCGAGGCACCTCATCCATCGTGTCCACGCAGATGAGGTGCGCCAGCAGGTGCGCGAGCTTCTCCGGCAGCAGCTCGACCAGCTGCCGGCCGAGCGAGCGCTTCGAGTCGCCGGCGGCCGAGTAGGTGACGCCTCCGACGCGGACAGCTCGGACGCTCATCCGGTTGGCGGTCAGCGTGCCGGTCCTAGGTCGCGGGTGCTGAACGGTATCAATTTTGTGTCTTGTGCCTCCTTGAGCGCTTCTAGCTTCGCGCCCCCCATCGCCGCGATGGTCCGGTGGCGCTCCCAGCGGGAGGAGACCAGAGGGGGGGCTGGGCCGCACAAGTGCACAGCGACCCCGCTGGACGCCGCGGCCTCCGAGGGGGAGCTGTGGAGGAGCGTGTGCCTCATCTCTCGGTTGTGTGCTCATCTACCGTGCCGGTGCTTGTCTGAGCAGATGGTCGTGGCGGATCCCATCGTCTCGCACGCGTCGAGGTGCTTGACGAGGTTGTTTTGCGCCATCATCTGCCCGCGACGAGAAGGCGAGCGCCAGCTGAAGGTGAGTTGGGGGTGGGCCGAGATGAGCCGAGATGAGCGGAGGGATGGGCCGCGAGATGAGCAGAGGTGGATGCGCCTGCTGCGACGAGAAGGCCAGTGCAAGGTTGACGGCGAGCGGCAGCCCCTCGGGCACCGCGACGGCGAGCACGGTGATGGCGGTGAGCATGTACTCGATGAGATGGAGCCACTCCACCTCGAGGAAGTCCCAGCAGCCCTCCTCGCCGCAGCCACGGAAGGAGGGGTAGACGATGCCCAGCGCCACCATAGCGAGGAAGCAAAACACGGCTGCGGCGAGGCCAACCTTGAAGACGTCCTCGACGATGCCGTTGAGCTTGACGAACAGGGGCGACGCCTCGTCGTCCTCCTCCTCGTCGTGGTACACCGCCATCTTGATCTTGCCAGAGACCGAGTACGGCCCGACCGCGACAACCAGCATCCGGCCGGAGCCGCTCACCACGTCGGTGCCGGAGACGCAGAAGGGCGCCTCTGCGGTCTTCGGCATCGGGTCGGGCTCGCCAGTGAGGGAGGACTCGTCCACCTTGACGTCCGAGCCCGAGAGGAGGACCCCGTCACACGGCAGCGAGGCGAGGCTGTGCGCGTTGAAGGCGAGCACGTCTCCGACGACGATCTCGGCGTCCGTCACCTCTGTCTGCTCTCCCCGCCGCACGACGACCTTCTTGTTGGACTGGTTCAGCTTCGCGGCCAGAGACTTGAACTGCCGCTCCTTGACGTAGTCGGTCGCGGAGGACACGTTTACAATAATGAAGACGGAGAGGAAGAGGGCGGTGGGCTCGATCCAGGCGGTGCTCTTGTCCTTGCCAAAGACCAACTCCGTCGGCAGCTGCACCGCAGCCAGCACGAGCAGCATGATGAGCACGGCGTCGTGCAGCGCGTCCCACACCAGTTCGAGGTAGCTCTTCGGCTCCTAGGAAGCACCGCGAAAAACAGCTGATTGCAGCCGTTTCACGCGGCCACTGTGGGTAGCTGGGTGTTAGGCCGGAAACCTTCTCGCGAAAAGCATTGGCGCCGAAGAGGACCTTGCGGTGATCAAGGTCGGCCGCCTCGCCGCTGAGGCCCGAGCCGGCGCTTGATCCCAGCATCGACGCGAGCTTCTCGGCGCCACCACCGCCTGTGAGGTCTGAGAGCAGCCGCAGGCCGCCCGACTCGCGCTCATCCATGAGCTCCATCAGCTGCATCTTCTGCGGCCAGGACTCGGAATCGGTGCCATCGTCACCGAGCTGCTGAAAGCCGCTTGGGGCCTGGCGTGGCATAGATGGTGCTCTCTCGCTCGCTACCGCGCCACCGCCTCGCTGCCCGCACGGCAAAAGAATTTTACCGCTCTTCTTTATCGCCGCCGCTACGGGCACGGGACTGGCGGCATTAGCCGGAATCACTAACACAGGTACACCGGGCGAAAAGAAAGCATGCCGGTCGTATTAATTCTTTTGCGGTGGTGCTGTGAGAGAGGTATATGGGCTCGGTCATCCTCCTCGGAGGCCCGGGTGACGGGTGAAAGAGCCGCCGACGAGAGACATGACACATGTACATGTCTAGGCTATTTCATAGGTCATAGCCCGCGCTTTGTAGTGCACCCCGTCAGCGCCGCGGTCCGTCGCCGCGCTTCCGCTCGCAGCAGATGACGAGATGAGCAACCACTTGACATGAACAAAACAGATACGCGACTTCGGCTCACAGAGTACGCCCGGCCTAAATAACTGCGCCCGCCGCGCTCGGACAGCGTCCAGCGACATCGGACTGGCATGAGAGAGAGACCGAATGGGGGCGAAATGCATGGCATCGGGGGCTCGCGGGAGTCAAATCCGGCGCCCAGATGAGATCGCGGGAGATCAGACCTGGCCCGAGACGAGGCCACAGAGTCTCTGACGCTGAGTCTCCGGCGCCCGCACGCCCTAGGTCACGGCGTCTCGCCGCCGGAGGTCAGAGCTTCAGCAGCGTCACCATCGTCTGGAGCGAGTCGCGTGCCTGCACCACCTCCTCCTTCGCGAGCAGCAGGTACTTGCGCACCTGCTCCTTGCCGCCGCCGGGGTTGTACTCGCCAAACGACGACGTGTATGCCAGCTGCGAGGGCGGGGAAGGGAAGGCGGGTCAAGCAGGGAGGAGGAGGGCGGCGAGAGCGACGGCTAGGGAGCGTCTGGGTGGCGCCCAGTGAGGCTCCTGCCGCCATCCGGCACACGGGTGTATCGTGAACGCCACATGCCAGCGGCACAGGCGGGACAGGTACAGGTGGATGGGCCAGCCGGCGCCTCATTGATCTTTGCAATGTGTGAGTTGAGGCCTTCGACTGAGTCGATCCACGTCTCAAAGTCGACGTCGTCGGGCAGCGATTTCTGCGCCTTGATCAGCAACTTGTCGACCTGGAAGAGCGGGTGGTCCGTCGTCCGCAGGCCGAGAAAGAAGCGCACGCGGTCGGGGCTGTCGGCGCCCGAGTTTGGGTCCACCGTCTCGCGGTCCCAGTTATCGAGCAGGAACTGCACAGAGTCGAGCCCTTTCTTTAGGCGGCTAAGATCGTTCGGGTCCTGTGCGGCAGCGAAGGCGGCCCGCGGCGCGGCCAGTGGCGCGAGGAATGTAGCGGATAAACCCGCGCCCAGCTGCAGGGATTCGCGGCGCGAGACTGCTGCGGTGCGGCCGAGGAGCGACCGTGCGGGCAAACTGCAGCGTTCGGGCCGGCGGAGGCTCTGACCGCCGAACGCCACGCCCACCGCAGATAGCAGGAAGCATGCCATGGCTGTGCCGGTTCTCGGAGACAACGTGTGAGGGAAGAAACCGAAAAACGAGCGCCGCGAGCGGCGTGGCGTGGAGCGGTTGTGCATCCCTCCGGGGGCCCCTCTGCGCCGGGGAGGCGATGTTGGAAAAAAGAAAGAAAACACACAACCCAAGGGAGGGATGGGAGAACGTGTGTTGGAGCTAGGACGCAAGCGTCCGTCGCCTTTTTCAAACTCGGGGCCCACTCCGCTACGCTCCGACCCGAATTTGGAGGGCCTAAAAGTTTAAGGTATTGCTGCGCAAAAGGGGAAGACACTCCACGCACAAAGTACATGCATACTTCCTCTTAGGCGGACCCTCCCGATGCCAGGACGCATCTAGTGCTAGTGTCGCTTTAGGAAATGCGGCGGCGAATGGCAAAGCGCATAAAGAAAGTCGGGGTCGCAGAGAGCGTCGCGCAGCAGTTGAGCATGCTCGTGCGTTGTTTAGGACGCCACGCCAATTGTCTGCGCGCCCATCTGTTGCCTGGCATCCCCTGCGAATTCGTCGCTCGTGATCAGCTCCGCTGCCGCTCGTAGCAACCAGTGCCGTGTCGAGATGAAGCTCCGCGACGACGCCCGTGGACTGCACGCGCAGGGAGAGGCGCACGAGCTCCCGCACGGCAAGCGACTTCTCGGCATGCGCCGCCTGACGCCTGTCGGCATCCCATTCTTGCAAGCAAGCCATTTCTACCGACGACCGCGTATTTGGTCGCGGAGAGGACGTTTTGGTACGTTTTGGCACCAGCTGAAGGCTTGCACGGACAAGAGCCCGTTGCCAACCGCACTTTTGCCAGAGCCTCGCGAATCAATTGGCCTCCGCTCGGGTGTGAACATATTCGCTGCGGTCATAATCAACGCGACATCCTTCTGGGGACAAGCAAGCAAGGCATCTCGACTCTCGCGTCTCGGATGACAGACAGATTGACAGTATCGCCGCGGTACAGGAGCTCTACAACATCAGCAAGGACTGGAACTTCGTCGAGAGAGCATACAAGAATCTCTGTCTGTCAATCTCTCTGTCAAAGGACGCGGAGAAGGCCCTCTTGACGTTCTGGGACGAGGAGTGTGAGGCGGGGATGCGTCGCGGCGCCTCTCTCTCCCCCCCTGCGGCTCTCGAGTCTAGCCTCGCGACACGCTCTCCCTCCTCCTCCTCTCCGCTGCCAGCTGCGACCGCGTACGCTGCCGCCGCCGACTCCACCTCCCCCGAGACGCCGACTCGCGAGAGGAGACTCCGCACGACTATGACTGGCTTTCGATCGACCCCGGGACCGAGAGGCTGGGGTTCGCGCGGTGCTACGGGGGGGAAACGCCGCGGCTCGAGATCGGCTGGGTCAACCTCGCGCACGTCGACAACACCACCACTCAGTTCATCAAGGGACCCAAAAAGGACAAGGAGCTCGTCGGCGCCTCGAGGCTCGGAGCGCTGCGGCGCGCACTCCCGCAGGTGTTTAAGGGCTCGCCGCGGCGCGTCTTCCTGGAGGGGTACAACGATCGCGGCGACAAGCAGCCCGGCAAGCTCAGTGCCGGCGGCGTGAAGCGGGGCCGCGACGGCGCGCCGGCTCGAGCCGGCGCGCCGATGAGCGGCACGCGCGGCCAAGGCTACGAGGTTAATCACGAGGTCCGCGGCGTGATCAAGGAGTTTGCCAGCTCCGTCCCTCACCCTCCCGAGATTGTGCACTCGTGGCTGCCCGTATCCTGGAAGGCCGCGGGGCAAGGGCTCATGATCAAGGACGGCGAGGGGGCTAGCAAGTCCGCCGTGAGGGACCGTGTGGAGGCGATCCTCGGCCGGCCCCTCGGGTCGGACCACATGCGGTCGCAGGCGAACCGCAAGATCAAGCTCCCGGACGACGTCTCAGACGCCGTTGGCGTCGGTCTGTATGGCTGCTATTTCTATCGCCTGACGCGCACGTACGCGGGGGCAACGGTCAGCGAGCCAATTGAGATCCGCGCCGACAAAATTGATGATCTCTAGATTTGTGTGTTTTGTGAGTCGAGATTCGCTTGTACGAGAGATGGTGTGTTGCATGGAGTTCCTCTCTACATGCTGTGCCATTCCCCGTGTATTGCCCACACTTTTTTAAGATATTTTATCAGACCTCACACCACACATCTCTCCCTCTCAGCTCTCTCTCTTTTGTTGAGTTTTCTTCCGCAGTCTGCAGACTGCGGACGCGAATCGAAGAACCAGCCGCGCGCGTCGGCGATCGGCGGTCAACGTTCCTTTGAGTTTGCCGCAGCTCGAGATTGAAGGTATCCCCAGTGCGCTCTCGCATGCCTCTACGTTGGCCTGAGAAATGCCCAGTCAGGGCGGCTATGCGCGACTTTGCGCAGCTTTTTGACCATACTAGTAAGGCGGTCGAGAATGAGACGTGGGAGCTACCACCTGAGCCATTGGTGTTGCGCATCCTGGGCCAGATTCCGGATCGACCCGCCTGCGACCAGCTCGTGCAGAGATACACCGACTGCCGCGAGTGCCCAGATGAGCAGTCCAAGCGGATCTCCGTTGTTCGAGCTCTCCGCCGCCTTGCCGAGTCGGGCATCACCTTTCTGCAGCGGTGCGTGTCGGACGACGCCCCGAAGGGCAAGGCAGGGTCAGCACAGGCTACGCAGGCCACGCCAGGCGGTCGGACAGGCCCGCCAGTGCTGCCCTCGCCAGTGCAAAGCTGCTCGGCGTCGGCATTTGTGGCTTGGGGCCACCTTGGAGAGGATCAAAGGCGAGCGCAGCGGGGCAAACGGGCCAGGGCAAGCGGCAGTACTGGTACTGGTGCCACCGCGCCGCTGGGCCCGCTCGAATCCCCTCACCCCCCTCCCCACCTCCTGTTTGCGCTGCACCCCCGCCGCCGCCCACCTTTCCGCCTCACCCGGCCGCGCGCTCGTCTGCAGGCGCTGACTTGGGCCTGCTCGCCGACGCTGCCGACGATGCACAGCGCATGCCGTCCTGTGACACGCTCTTCGGCGGGTTGCGGCCGCAGGCTGCGACATTTCTGTACCCGCCACCGGGCATTGCCTATCATTCGCCGGCAGTGCCATTGGGCGGGCCGGTGCCTATGCCCATGCCGGTGCAGAGTTCATTGCTCTACAGGTTCAATTCTACAGGGCACACGTGGCATTCTTTTGCCTTCCCTTTTGCAGGTGCTGCAGGCGGCGCCCATGTGTGACATGCACCTTTGCAGGAGCACCGTTGCAGTGGCACCGATGCGGATTGCGTCGGCACAGCACGGCGTGGTGCGGCCACAGCCGCAGCGCGGACGCCCTATGATTCCGGCGAGAATGGCACCGTCAGCAATCAGCCAGCCAGCGAGCGTGGGGACGCCGTGCCCGCCCATTGCCCAGCCTCAACCAATCCGGATAATCCCCGATGTGAAGCACCCGATGGCGATGGTGTCGAGCGCGCCCGGTCAGGTAGCGTCGCAGACGACACCCGGCGGGGCAAATGTTCCCGTCACGTTGTCGCCATCGCCCTCTGTCCGAGGCTGCGCCGCTGGCATCGTGGCGACGAAGTCAGAGACGGAGCAGGCCCCCCCCCCCCCAGACCTAGGCCCTGCTCCAACCCCACCCGAGAGAGCTCAGCCTCCCTGGTCGATCCTCTCAGGTGGATGGTCTCAACGCGTTGATGCGGGGTATGAGCGAAGACGTGCGTGCTGTGGCGCTCAAATGGTGAGAAGCGCCCACACCAACGCTCCCGCGTCGGCCGCAGCCACCAAACCGCCACTCTTCTTCGGCCGCCGCAGGTGCCTCGAGCGTGACGCGCCAAGCGTAACCCTCATCTGCGAGTCGGGGCAGCTTGAGGCCTCCATGACACAGACATCAACCGCCAAGAGTTACCGTCGTGACCCTCGTCTTGCTACCCTGTTGCAGGCTTTCTTAGCCGCGTTGCCACTTCAAGCTTCCGCCTTGCGGCGGCGCTTGGAGGCTGCTGCACCACCAAGTCCTGCCCAGGCTTTGAGGTGAGGCGACGAGACGTCTCACCTAGTCACCCCGTGCGTTGTGGCTTGTTCTCGCTTTGCGTATATACGGCGAACCGCCATCCAGCAGCACCTCAATTGCGAGTGACGGAGTGACTCGACGCCATCCCCCGCGCCCCGGCGTCCTCTATTTAAATAAATAAATAAAACGGTCAAACTCTGAGACGAGATGGGATTTAGGGACATGTGTCCCGCCCTGCCACGTGGCTTGCCCTCCACCCCCCTCTGGTCACTACCTATACCCGACACTCTGTGCTCTAGAGAGAGGCCACAAATTCTAGCTTCTACGCACTACGGTAGAGGAGCGGCGAGAGTTGGGGGGCTGGCGGCTACGGCTGCGGCTGCGAGAGGGGCTGCGGTCACGGGGGAGCCGCTGCGCAGCGTGGACGCGCTTACGCCGTCACACCGCTCTTGCTCTATGGTACGAATTCGTAACCCGTAAGCCGCACACAGCCCACAGAGCCCGTACGCAGCCGCAGCGAGGCAGAGCCAGAGGCGCTGAGGCGGCGCGCGCACACACACCGTCCCGCTCACGCACCGCGCGCGCGAGAGGGTCTCCGCTCGACTGCCCAGCCCGCTAACAAACACATATCAGCAGTTCGGCCTACCAAGCACTGACCAGTGTTTTCCCCGCCGCCGCTGCACAATCACCACACATCGAGTTGGTCCCCAAGCGAGAGCGCGCGCGTGCCACTGACCCCCTCCGCCGAGGGCCTCGGGCCCCTGCCACCGCTGCCTGTGTGTGCCAGACACATATCACCCCCACGCCGCACATGCCCCGGCCCGCGCGGCGCGCGCGCGCCGGGCGCCGCGCGTCACAGCTCACACCTCAAAAATGTCAAAACTGAGGAACGAGAGACGAGAGAGAGACGAGAAGGTAGTAAGAGCGCCGCGCCCTTGGCCTGAATAATGGGGTCCCCATCCACATACCCCACCCTGCAAGTTGCACAGACGTAGGCACGCTGGCGCCCATACGCTGGGGTGCTGAGACACTGACGTCACACAACTCAGAACTCACCAGACACCCTTGCGTTCCCTCCCAAAGTATGGTGTATGCACGCAAGATCACAAGTGGGTCATCCAGCACAAGTCAGACAGGTTCGCATGCATCAAGTCTCACGAAGACACCAAAATTGAAGGAAGAATGAAGAATACAGGAAGGGAGCGCTCTGGATCAATGGGCGCTACGGGCCAAGCTCTCTGCGCCTCGAGACTGCCACGCGAGCCTCCAGTTCCACCTCCGGCCGCTCGCTCAGGGTGAGGAGAGATGCAAAGAGCCCCCAGCGAGAAGTTCGGCGGGAGACGCACGCTTCCAAGGCGGCGTCTCCCGTCTGGGGCTCGATTTCCCCCGCCGTCGCTTTCGAGATGCTGCCTGCGGAGTTGAGGATGACGCGTGAGATACAGACAGCGACAAGCTACCCCACATCCAGCCCCCCAGCCCCCCAGCCCCCCACCCACCACACACACACCACCACCGAAAGGCCCTAGAGCTTGTCCCGCCGCCTCAAGCACTGCCTCCAGCTCTGCCAGAGCCCTGAGCCAGCTCTTGAGCCCCAGTGGCCGACTTGCAGTGCCCTCCTTAACCCTCACGACCCTCTACGGCTCACCTCGAGCGCCATCGGCCCGAGCGCAGAGAGAAGCGCAAGACCGAAAGTGAGAGACTCTGCGGCAGCACGATGGGGTGGTGAGCGGCCCTCCGATCCCCCATCCCCGCATGTGCATGTGCATGTGCATGTGCATGTCTGTGGAATCGTGCTTGCATCTACTAGCCGTCACCATCGGGCGCGTCGTCGGCGGGACCAGGAAGGCGCTCATTGCCCTCCTCAATTCGCAGCTGCAGCGACGCCCAGCTAGTAAAGAGCAGCCAGGACGCCTCGATCGCCTTGACGTTGGCGCTGGCAGAGCTGGCACTCGGCAACTCGCATTCGGACGCTGCATGGGGGAAGGGGGAGGTCAGGGTGTCGAGAGGAGTATCGCGCCCCGATTGGAAGTTTCGAGAGGCATTTGGGTGCTACTCAAGGCTGGCAGGCACTGCATGCCCCTGCAGCTCAAACTACTTGGCGTGCCCTGCCGATTCTTTGCCTCAGGACGGGGGCGGGAGGAGTCACCTGGGTTGTCCAAGCGCTCCCGCTCCTGCAGCGCAGCCTTGACGGGCACAAGCAGGGCGCGCCCAGCCGCTTTCGCCCTGCTTTGGTCGCGCGGGCTGAGAGGTAGCCGCGCAAGCGGCGCGAGCTCTGCCGGCAGATCCGACAGCATATGTCGCGACTTTCTGGCCAGATCGAGAGAGCGTCATCGGCCGATGCAGAAAATTTCCGTAGTATGTCCGGCCAAAACTCGCCGCAAACTTGAAGCGGGTTGATGCGTTTCGCATTTTAACGTAGCTCGTTGCGTCGTCGCGCACATGTCTACAACGGCTTTCGTCAGGCAGCCAAGGACGGCCTTCGGGTGGAACTTTTCTCACTCAAGAGCGATCCAGACTTTGCGGCACACCTACCTAGGTCTGTGGCACCTCAAACCCCCCCGCTTTCCTACGACTGTCACCCTAGACGGCTAAGAGCCCGAACCCGCCCCCTCCTTCTCTTTGCCCCCCTCCCAGGAGCAAGAGCGCGCACCTCCAAGGACATTAGTGATAACATGAGAGGCAAGAGGGCACATGCACATTCGTACCGTCACAAGGGTGCCGCTCCCCCGCCCAGTCAGCAGGCCCACCACCCACCCAACCAACTCACCCGCCTACATCTACGCATGTATCTCATTCATTCATTCACGCCGCGCCGAGGGAGGGCCCTTCATTCATCAGGGGCCTAGAGGCTAGAGACAGCAGCAAATCCCTTCTCCATCGTTCAAGAAAGATCTCGCTCTCTCCAGTGCGCAGTCAGTGGCAGACAGTGCATACTTTGACTATCGGTCTCCTGCCTGACTGAGAGTAGGGGAGGCGGAGGGGGGGGGGGGGGCAGGGGAAGGCCAGGGTGAGGGGGCGGTGGGGGGGGGTTGCAGTTGCAGATGCCCGGCCCCCGGGATTTCGCTGGGATTTCGTCGAGGATTTCGGATGTTCCTTCCTAGGCTACCAGCTACCAGTGAGGCAGGGAACGCAGGCAGGATCCCATCTTTCCTTTTCCTGTGTGTGTGTGTACACAGCGCGTACACACGCATAAGATAAGGGATCCGTGTGAACCTGAGTGAACACTTATAGTGAGTGAGGGCGAGACGATCTTCGAGGGGTCCCGTGTCCTAGGGTCCCGTCACCATTCCACACTCTCGTCCCGAGAGAAAAACCCTGTCAGCAGTCACCGTCGGGTATGTTCGTTTCCAGAGCCAAGGATAAAGAAAAGTACGCGGCCGTCCGTAACGGCGGCCGTTGCGTTGCGTTGCCCCCCCCCCGGCCGCTCATGCTCTCCTCGTTGCCGCTGCAGATCCTGCTCTTCTTCAATACTATATATGTCTTTGTGTGGGCCGCCGCAATGCTTCTTCTCTTTGCGTGGAAACGTGCGCGTCACGCTCCGGCGCAGCGGCATTGCGCGCCAAGCAGTGCTGACGACTGCGCTTCACGCAGGTGCACACCTCCCGTACAAAGGAGAGCTGCGACACTATTTCGGGCTGGAGGTGACGCTCGTCTTTGTCATGTTTGTCTGCGAGCTCGCCCGTCTCTTTGTCGGCTCACGCGGAAACAAACTGGAGCAGGTGGCCCTTGGCTGAGCCTCACCCCAACCCTTGACGCACAAAAGGGCCTCACCCTTCCGGCACCGGAGCAGATGCGCACGCTGCTCCTCTTTGTCATTTTGACGCTTCCCGTTGCGCTGGGTTCCGTGTACTATCTCTACCTGCAGATTTTTGTCACCCGTGCAGACCTCGTCCTAAACGCCGTCTCGGTCGCGTTCGAGGCACTCGAGCTGCTGCTTGCGATCCCGACGCTTATGACCTTCCGCCACGCGGGCAAGGCGGGTGGCGCGGGCTAGCGTCGCTCCCGCACTGCCTATCGGGCACCGGACAGCAAAGGTGTCTTTCGTGCCCTGCGATGCCACGTGCCGCGAGGAGGAGGGAGCCGCGCGCAGCGCAGTACTCGAGTGGGGGTTCACCCGGCGCAGGTACATGTATTGAGGTATATTAGGGGGGGGGAGAGAGAGAGAGAGAGAGAGAGAGAGAGAGAGAGAGAGAGAGAGAGAGAGAGAGAGAGAGAGAGAGAGAGAGAGAGAGAGAGAGAGAGAGAGAGAGAGAGAGAGAGAGAGAGAGAGAGAGAGAGAGCGTGTTGTGTTCGATGCCGGTCACACACGACACGGCGATCGGCGTGCGACTCGCACCGCCAGCACCGCCGCCGCCTGCCGACCGCCGCCAACCATCCACAGTGTCCTTCAGGCCTCTAAATTTCTTTGTGCCTGAAAACAGCGCCCCGGGGACTGGTCGATGGCATACTAGGGGGGGCAGGGTAGTGGGCGGCGATCGCCGCATACCGTCCTATGGCGGCGAGTATCGCTACGCCAGGGAGGACAAGGACGTCGACGTGCGGCTGCTGCTGTTCGAGTCGTTCGGCGGGGTTTGGGAAGGGGGTCGGCGAGATCCTCTGGGGGGCGGCGAACGTGCTGCAGGACAAGCTGACGCGGGCCCAGTACCTCGATGAGGTGACTTGGACCACCAAGAGCTGGCTGGGGCTGCAGAAGCAGCGCATCTCAGTCGTTCTTCACACGGCCATCGCAGAGCAGATTGTGAACGAGCTTGCCAGCGGCGAGGGCGGTCGAGTGCACGGAGCTAAGTGCCTCGCCGTCCTCGCGGGAGTCGCTTAGGCGGCTCCAGTGGTGTACCTGTGTTAGTGCCAGTGCGCGTGCCCAGAGTTGTGCGCGCGGTGAAAGATTCTTTTGAAAACAGCGCCGCCCCGCGTGCGAGATGCCTGAAAGCACAGCCGAAGGCGAGGCGGTCGCACAGTGGCTTGAGAAGCGGCCGACGGCCGTGCAATGGGAAGTGTTGCCTCCAGCCCTCCGGGCGAGGCTGGGCTCCGAGGCCGCCTGGCTGAGGGCGCTGAGGGCACACTCGCTCGGCCTGCAACTGCCGTGGTCATCGGCTCTGGGCGTGGAGGAGAAGGAGTACCTCGCGGAGCTCCTCAAAGCCTCTCGCGAGCGGCTGCTCCTCTACCCGTACCACCTAGCGCGCCGGCTCGCTGCCTGCTGGCCCGCTGAGACACCCTTCCGCTACTACCGCGAGATGCTCTTCGAGATGCTCCGGTCGGAGCGCTCGTACGACACGATTCCGAACTTCACGGCTGCCGACGCGGCGAGGCTCCTCCGGGTCGGCCGCAACGAGTTTCTCCACGCCCTCAACGAGTGCCGCTCAAAGGGATGGCTGTGGAAGCGGCGGCGCGGACTCATCATGAAGCAGCTGCCTTCGGCGCCGCCGCCGGACCTGCCGCTCGAGGACTGGTGGGTCGTGTGCGCGAGCGAGCCCGCCCTGTCGATCGCCGCCGATCTGCTCGCTGGACGGGCACCGCGCCGCACGCGCGGCCGCAGCGGCACCGGGCTGGGCGGCAGCGGGCTGGGCGGCAGCGGCGGCGAGCTCGGTGGCGATGACGAGGCGGACGGCGGCGGCGCTGCGGGCGACCTCGGCGACGGCCAGCTCGGTACGGCGGCGCGCGACGCTCTGGTCGCGCTGAGCGCGGCGCGCGACGGGCGCGCGCTCGCGGCGGCTCTGCCAGAGGAAGGGGTGCGATTCGACGTAGAGAGAGAGAGATAGCGAGCCTCGCCGCTGCCACCACCCCCCTTCGGCCCGCCCGCGTGGGGCGTGCATCGAGAGCCGAGGAGACCAGCAGGACGGCTCGCTCTCCCTCCCAGGTGCGGGAGCTCTACGCGAGCGGGCTCGTGCGTCTCGAGGCGCGCGACACGCCTCTGCGGCGGCGCCACCCCTTGTCGACGAGGCCGTGTGCGGCCGTAGGTGGCGGTGGAGGCGTCGGACAAGCTGGCGGTGCCTCCGCTGGTCGGTTTCGTGATGAACCGCGTCGGCAACGACTGGATGGAGAAGCTGCTCTACGAGCTCTTCGTGTCCAACGACGAGACGGCAGAGGTGCGGCAGCTCGCGTCGCTGCTCGACCAGCCCCTCGATCGCGTGCTGATGGCCGCCTCGCTGGCGTGCCGCCTCGGATTCGCGAAGAAGAAGGCGCCTCCCGAAGCCGCTGCGGCGGCAGGGCAGGCAGAGGCGGGAGGGGCGCAGGCGCGCGCAGCGGGGGGCGGCTTGCCTCCTCTTTCCGCCTCCGCCACGTCCGCCCCCGAGTTCATGGCGGCGCCCGAGGGCGGCGGCGAGGTGTCGCCGCGGGACGCGAGCAGCGGCGCGCGCATCGCATTGCTTGTCGACTCCAAGCTCGCCGCCTCGCTGATGATGTCCAATCTGGCGGCCGGGCTCAAGCAGCACGCGGTGACGCTGTACGAGGTCGGCAAGATCCCCGCCGAGTCGCTCGACGCGTTTCTGGAGGCGGCGGCCGAGGTGGAGCGGCCGCACGAGCTCGAGCTGCTCGAGTACTTTGACCACGCCATCTCGCTGCGCATCGCCGCCGCCTCCCTCCGCGCCGCCTGCCCCGGTCGGCCGCTCGACATCGTGCGGACCGAGTCGTTGCGCGAGCTCGGCTCGTCGAAGCTCGCGCGGCTCCTCGGCCGCTCGTATGGCCTCGCCGTCTCGATGGCGCCGCTGCTCTCGCACTCGGAGACCGTCTTCACGCGCGGCACCGGGGTGCCGCACGCGGGCCCGCTGGCCCCGGCGATGGTCTCGCCGTGGGCGAGGCTCGCCTTGTACGCGGCGGTTGGCGCCGGACCCCCTTCGGTCCTGCTGCGGCGTGGCACGCGGCTGCGGTCGCTGCCGGCGCCGCTCGCGTCTGCCCCCTCCGTGCTTCTGACTAGCTGGTCGGGAGAGACGAGCTCTGCCAAGGCGTGGGACGCGCCGCCCCTCGCCCCGGCCCCCAGACTCGCGTCGGGAGGTCGTCACCTGAGGCCGTCACCTGTCTTGCCGAGCACAGGCGGGCGGCGCCCTCGTCGCAATCAACGAGCTGCTGCTCCTCTCGCCGGTGCTCGTGCAGGCCGCCGAGTCTGCTCGTCGAGCAGGGAGGGGCGAGCAGCTCGCCCGATCCGTCTCACCCGCGCCCCTCGATGACGCCCTCCAGGCGTACGACGCGGCCCCGTCGCGTGCCGCTCAAGTCTCCTTCCCGCTGCGTGCCGCCGACCTCCACCCCGACCTGCTCTCGCTCGAGGTCGCCGCCAACGGCGCCGGAGGCGGCGGCTCCGCCGAAGCCGGTGGCGGCGACGGGAGCGGCGGCGGGGCCGGGGCAGGGAGTGGCGACGCGAGCGGCGGCGTTGCTGCCGGCGGCGCCGGCGCGGAGGCGGTTGCGGCGCGTGTGGTGCAGTGCTTGCGCTTGCAGGGCACGTTTGGCTTTGTGCAGCTCGTGCGGCTGTCCGGCGAGTGGGTCCCGCTGGACCTCCACCTCGGGCTGCCCCTCTTCGACGTCGCTCTCTGCGAGGAGGTCCGGCCGAGATCGGCCGAGTTCGCCCGAGATTGGTCACAAGGTCCGAGCGGAGGTTGGAGATTGGTCACAAGGTCCGAGTGGAGGTTGCGTGAGGAGCACGAGCGGCCTCCATCACGCACAAGGCGCACCAGCCACTCACTGCGGCTCCCGCCCCCGTCTTGTGCGACGCAGGTCTGCTCGTCCATCCAACGCGACGGGCTGCTGCGAGAGGCGGCCGCGCCAGCTCTGGCCGCCGCCGCCGAGGGCTGGCTCGGCCGCGTGATAGATTTTGCTGGCGCGTACAGCCGGGTGGCGGACCGGGCTGCCGGCCGTAACGACACCCGCCCCGCCTTTTGTCCCGCGGCGAGCGCCGTGGACGACGGCGCCGCCGCCGGGGCGCCCCTCCCGCTCGTAGATTTGATCTTTGACGGCGCCTCGATCGGACGCTTCGACGAGGCCGAGCACCGCTGCTAGCGCGGCGTGGCCCATATATCGACCTGGCACCGCAGCTTTGGGCCCCCCCCCCGGCCCCCCAGGACCACGAGCTCCGGGCGTGTCACGACTCACGTAGCACTATACATGTGCATGTCCGTGTACGCAGGTTCCCTAGTTTATTTTGATTACGTATCGATGCGTATACGTTATACGTACACACGTGTGTTTGCTCCGTACACGAGTCTCGAACCTACGTGCTACCGGAGAAGCCTCTGGCTACGACGTACGAGGTCTCTAGCGGTGTACGTGTACGGAATGCTAGTTGCTGCACGCACCGCGACACCGACGAAACCGTGACGCGCCCTACGCGAGCTTGCTGCCGCCTTGCGTAGTTCTCTCGTCAAGAGCTCAAACCAGACCGGCCTAGCTTCTAACGCTGCCCGAAGGCGTCCAAATCGATTCCTGGCACCTCGTTGACGGGCAGGCCCGTTGCTGGGTCCAGCGCGTCCTCCAGCTGCGACGGGTCCTCAATCTCGACACCGATGCACTCCGGGATGCGCTCGAGGACAAACGCCTCTAGGCGCTCGAGCACGCGGGCGCGCGCGTGCCAGAAGCGACCGCTCAGCCGGATCACGACCGTCGGGCCGTCAAGCTCAACGAGTTCCGCGCGCCCGGTGATTCCCACCGCGGCCGACTCGGGGTTCGAGCCGAACATGGTGCCGAGGTCGCGCTCCGCCTCATCCAGGACGGCCTGCACATTCTCCTCGGTCAGCACGAGCTCCAGCAGTATCGGCCGCGTCCGAGCACCGCAGCGGTGCCGCAGCGACGCCGGCCTCGCCCGCCAGCTCGCGGATGCGGAAGAAGGAGTCAGAGCGAATGAAGCGGCCTCGCCGACGAAAAGTACGGCGAAAAGGAGGATGCACGAGATGGAGAGCATGGCTCGCGTGTGTACACTCCCTGGCTGGCTCCTCCGCACCACTCCCTCGCACAGAAAGAGAAAAGAGAAAAGACGAAGCTGGAACACAACCCACTCTACTACTGAAAAGAGAAAACACAAAACAAGAACACAACCCACTCTCACATGACAAGCGATCCCACGACAGCGATTGTGCGTGAAGGGTGGAGGGGCCCGTGGTCCGCAGAGCTATAGGCGGCGTGGGCGCCCCCCCCCACTGGGGCCGCCGGGGTAGAGGCCGTTTGCCGCTTGCTTGTTCTTGACGTCGTTGACCCAGTTCGCAGTTGGCACGCTCAAAGCACAAAGGGGAGTTGACCCAGTTGGTGCGCATCTTGCGCGCCTGCTTGTTGATGTTGTCGGCGTCGCCCGCCACCGCCGCGCTGCGTGTGGTGGACGACAAAGGAGGAGGCGCCTCTGGACAGAGGCGGCCAAGGCTCACGCCGACAGGGGTGGCAGGGGCGGTGATAGGAGTCTCCCACTCTGTGGGCTTCGCTAGAGCGTAGAGGTGCGGCCTAGGGTGCGGCCTGCGTATCCGTATGTCCTCGTCCTTGAGGTCTTGAAGGCGGGAAGGGGCTGTGTGTCTGTGCATGCATGCATGCATGCATGCATGCATGCATGCATGCATGCATGTGTGTGTGTGTGTGTGTGTGTGTTGTGTGTGTGTGTGTGTGTGTGTGTGTGTGTGTGTGTGTTGAACTCTCTTCTTGATTGATGGGAAGGCGAAACACAGTCCGACCAACGACTGGGACACCAACGCGGTATGGGTGGACGCAGGGATGTCTGTGTGTGTGCACACGTTCACGGCCAAAGGATATCCACCTCGAGACCCTCGAAAAAAAAGAAAGAAAGAAAGCAGACAACCCAAGGGAGGGATGGGGAGGACGGCACGCCGCCACCTCACAGGGATTTTAAGGAGAGGTGTGTGATGCGCTAGCCGTCGCCCACCCTAGGGAGTCTGCCTCTTCCTCGACCTCGAGAACACGTTCACGGGGATTAGAGATTTTTTTCGCCGTCAACGATTGGGGTAGGGGCCCTAACTCGTGTGAGGCTACTACTTTCTCGCAGTGACTCGCATTCTAGCTCGTCTACCTTACCTTACCTTACCTTGCCTTCTAGCTCGCTCTGAGCACACAAGCGCGCTGTCTCGCGAGTGAGAACGCCCTTTTCTTCTCTTCGCCTTTCCCACGCTCTTCGAGAGCCCACGAGGACGCGCCCTATCCACGCTGGCGCGCTCCTCCGCCGCTCTTCTCGTCTTTCTTTTGCTTGAACAAAAAACGCGCAATGGCCGACGGTGCTCCGACTTCACTCGACGAGCCGCTCATCCGCCTCGGCAGGCGTCGCCTTCAGCCCACCGAAACGGTGGCAAGAACGGAGGCCACGCAGCAGCGAGACGCGCTCCTCCCATTCGTGGTCATCTCGTCCACCTATCTCCTCTTCACCATCACCGACGGCGCGCTGCGCATGATCGTCCTCCTGCACGCCTACCGCAAGTCCTTCACGGCGATGGAGGTCACCTTAATGTTTGTGCTCTATGAGCTTGCAGGCGTCGGAACCAACCTCGCCGCTGGAATCGCCGGCGCTCGATGGGGCATCCGCGCCACGCTGGTCACCGGGCTCCTGCTCCAGATCGTGACCTTCGGCCTCCTCTTTGGTTGGGAGGACGGGTGGAGCAAGAGCCAGGCCATCCTCTATGTCACTGGCGTTCAGCTCTTCGGCGGCGTGGCCAAGGACCTGACCAAGCTGGGCGGGAAGACGGTGACAAAGCTGGTGACACCCGAAGAAAAGGAGACGCAGCTCTTCAAGCTCGTCTCCCTCCTCACCGGCGCGCGAGGTGCTCACGCTGTGAGGGCCACGCCGCTGTGCCGACTCTTGCGTCGGTGAGTAGGCTGGAAGAACTCGCTCAAGGGCGTCGGCTACTTCCTCGGCTCGTGGCTGATCGGCATCTCGTACGGGCTCGCCCTCGGCGCGATGATGGCCCTCGTCCTGCTCGCGCTGCCCATGGCCTACTTTGGCCTCGACCCGCAGCTCGGCGTCTCGCCGTCCCCAGGGCGGCTCCGCCTCTCCGACGTCTTCGACCGATCCAACCCAAACCTAAACTGGCTCTCGCTCGCGCGCCTCTTCCTGTTCGCCTCGCGCGACTTCTGGTTCGAGGTCCCCCTCCCATTTTTCCTCCGCAGCCCCCCGTGCGCCGCCATCGGCAGGCCGTGCGCCGACGACTCGGACTGCGGCAGCGGCACCGCGTGCGACGCCGAGGCGGGCGCTTGCGCCAACCTCAACCCCGGCGGCGGGTGCGGCGGGCTGGGCTGGTCGCGCACGCAGGTTGGAGCGCTGCTGGCGCTGTACATAATTGCGTACGGCCAGTTGGTGAGTCAGTCAGTTACTTGCGCTGTACATAATTGCGTCAGTCACTGTACATAATTGCGCTGTACATAATTGCGTAGCAGGCGTACACGCCGCAGCTGGTGACGGGCCCGCTCCGCCAGACGCCGCCGAATAAGCGGACCGAGGTGTTGTGGGGGTTGGTCAACTGCCTGCCGACGCTCGTCATGGCGGTAGTGGCGGCGGCCAGCGCCGATGCTGGCACCTACTCCCAACCCTCGCACGCAGGCCTGCCGCCGCACACCTCGCTGCTTGGCGGCAGCCTCGTTGGCACGATCGCGTGCTTCGCCCTCGTCTTCGCCGTCAACTCGTCGATCCACTCGTATCTCGTTGTGCTCTACGCTGCGTCGGACAAGGCCAACGCGCCCGCCCGCCGGCTTGTACACGGTGTGAGCAGCGTCTCACCCACCCGTGACGCTTTCCAGGTGGCCGCCTCGGTCGGCTTCTATTACATGGCCAATGCGTGTGGCCGGCTGCTTGGCACGCTTGGCTCGGGCGTGCTCTACACGTACGTCGGCGATGATCTCGGCTTTCTCGCGGGCACAAACGCGGTGCAGGGTTTGGCGGCGTGCTTCGCCGCCGCCACCGCCTCGAGCCTGCTCGCCGCCCTCATCACGCTGCAGATCGACGACGGCGACGCGGCCCTCCTGTGCGGCCCCTGCTGCGTGCTGTACGGCGGCGCGGAGGCGCCTGCCTCCGACCAGTGCTCCCGGCTGCACTCGCGCGCAGAGGCGGACGAGGCGGCAGCGGGGAGGCTGTCCGAGGAGGAGGTAGTGCGCCTCTCGCGCCAGGTTTCGGACGACCTAGAGTGAGGGGGCGCTTTTGCCTCTTGGGGGTCGTGCCCACAAAGCCTCCTACCTGGGCTCATGAGCGCTCATGACGTACGGGTAGAGCACAGAGATACAGTACGTGCTTGTACATGTCTCGTGGTTGCGGTCGGCTCTAATATACGGTAGGTGTATACACGCACCCTAACGTACACCCCGCAACGTTCCTGTCCATGGTGACATGATGAAGTATTCTCTTCTGTATACACAGATCACAGTGCGTGTCTACAGTGTGACCGAGCCCACAGCGGCGAGTGAGAGCGGGAGGAAACGAAAATAACATGAAAAATGACTCGTTGCCAGAGAGCGATACCCGAGAGGTGGCGAGAGCCCAGCGAGATGGCTAGAGATCGACGTGTACACTGCTTACTACTCTGTAGCCTCGCTCTCGCATGGGGCATGACCCGCGGGGGTCGGGGGGTGGCGTGGCGCGTGGCCGTTGGGAGCAGAACCGCCCCGCCCGCCCGCCTAGTTTCGACCTCGTGCTTCCAGCCCGCGCACAGTCGCTAGTGGTCGAGCGGCGACAAGGCGAAGAGGTCTCCGAGTCCACGATCGCCCTCGGTGCGGCCTCCGAAGAGGAAGAGCGCTCGGCCGTCGCCCGCGGTCGGCTGCAGACACGCGGCGGACGTGTGAGCGAGGGAGCGGATGGTGGCGTGGCGAGTGTGTCGGAGGTGGGTTGGGCTCTCACCAGCGAGACGAGGGAGTGGCCGACGCGGCACGGCGGCGGCGGGCCCTGGATGGAGGGCACGCTCCACGACCAGCTGCGCGTGTCGAGGATGGCCGCGTCGTCGCGGAAGTCGAACCCCTCCCCGTCGGCGGTGTAGTCCCAGCCGCCGTACACGAGCACGCGCTCGCCGTCGAGGCAGACGGCGGCGTGGCCGGTGCGCGGCCGAGGCACCTCCCCGCTCGCGGCGGGCGAGGTCCACTCCATCGTGGCGAGGTCGAGCAGGTGCGGCTGCGCGAAGGAGCACTCGGCGTCGTTGCCTCCGAAGAAGAGGACGCGCCCGCCGGAGAGGCGCGTCGCGGAGGCGTAGGCGCAGCCGGCGGGCGGGCGGCCTGCTGTGAGGGGGCGCCGCCACGCCCAGTCGTTGGTGGGGACGAGCTCGTGCAGCTCCTGTTAATTAATAGTTAATTAATAGTTAATTAATGTGAGGGGGCGAGCTCGTGCAGCTCCTGCAGCCGCGGGAAGGGGTGGCAGGCAGGCGTCGGCCGCTCTCTCCACGACGGCCAGCCGGTGCTGGGCGGCGCGTGTCTGGCGGAGCCGTGTGTGGCGGCGTGTCGCGTCGCGGGTCCGGACGTGTCTTGGCCGTGGCTTTGCCGCGCCGGCTCGAGGAAGCGGCGCGAGGAGTGGGAGAAGCCGCCCCAGACGAGGAGGCGCGAGGCGTCGTTTTGCTCGTGCAGGCAGGCGGCGTGGCCGGACCGGGCGGAGGGCCTGTGGCCCCGGTCCACCGCCTCGTACCAGACCTAGGCGGAGTGGGAGACGAGGTTGCAAGGCGAGGTGACACCACCTCGCGCGGGGCGAGGGCCGGGCCCTCCCAAGCCCTGTGCGCCTCAAACTCCGGGTCGTACGAGAGCATCGAGGAGAGCGACTGCGGCTTGCCTCCCGCCGCGGCCTTGCCCTTGGCTCCGCCCGCCGGACGTGCCGCCTCGCCACCGAAGACAAGGAAGATGTCCGACGAGCCGTCGAGCGAGCCGCGCACCACGGTGCCCGTGTGCCACGCGCGGCCGTGCGGCGCGTCCTGGCAGCGCCTCCACTCGCCGCTGGCGGCGTCAAACGCGTGCAGGTCGCTCAGCTGCGGCGGGCCGTCGGCGCCCGCTGCGGAGAGGGCCTCGCCGCCGTACACGAGCATCTTGCCTCCGAGAGCAGCGGCGCAGTGCGCCCAGCGGGCGGGCGGCGTTGGGCCGGTCGTCTCCACCGGGCGCCACTCCCACCGCCGCAGCGGTGCCTCGGGAGGGAAGGGGAAGGCGTGCAACGAGGCCGTCGGCGGCAGCACCGGCGGCGGCACCTCGGCCTTCTCCGCACCTTCGTCCAACACCGCCTTGGCCGCATTCCACAGCCCCTGGCTGGTCACCGCCGCGGGGTGCTCGTCGTCATCGGAGGGGCACCCGTCGTGTGCTTGCTCGCCGCCTCCGCACTCCTCGTCGCTGTCGCTGCACCCGCCGTTGGGGTAGACGGTCGGCTCCACCGCCTTTCCACAGGACGCACTCTCGTTCATGTCGCCGCCGTCGACGCTCGAGAGCGGCACGCTACCGCAGCCCAAAGGTGCGGTTGTGCGCGCGCGCTTGTGCAGGGTGCCGCTTGCCGGCAACGGACGCTCGCTGGGAGTGCATGAAGAGCTGATCGCTCTTTCGTCGTCGCACGGCTTCATCCGGATCGGAGCGGCCCGAGAGAGGCCCCGTATCTCGAGCACGCCCTCGTCGGTGACGGTGGCGTTGACGCCGGATGGCAGCGAGATCACGAGGTCTCGGTAGGTGAACTGCACCATGGGGGCGAACGGCGATCGGCCGGTACCTTCGCCGAGCTCCGAGCTGCCCTTCGCGGCAAAAGCGAACCAAAAATTTCTTTTTATCGTCGTGCGCCGTCCTCCCATCCCTCTTTCTCTTGTTTTCTTTATTTCTTTCAACTTCCTTGCCTACCTTAAAATCCAAAACAGAAGGTCTCGGCCTCGCCGCCGCCGCCGCCGGCCGGCATCGCGTCGTCGCCGCGGTCGCGCCGCGCCCGCTTGCAGCCGGCAAAGAGCTCCGGAAGCGGCGGCGCCGCCGCCGGCTCCTCGACCGCCACGTAGAGGAAGGCCGCGACGATGTAGCGCACGCCGCTCACGATCGGCTCTCCGCCGTGCAGCGCCCGCCCGTGGAACGCCACGAGGTGGCCGACCGGCGGGGAGAGCGAGCGGCGGAGGTCGGCGAAGAAAGTGCCTCCGCCCTCGAACTCGTCGTTCAGGACGACGGTCAGGCTGAGCACCGACTCGTCCGTGTGGAGTGGGAGGTGCGCCTGCCCGCCGCTCGCGCTGTAGCGCACGAGGAACGCGTCGTGCACGCGGATGTCGGCGGCGGCCACGCGGAACTGCGCGGCGAGCAGCGGCGCGATCCGGCCCGCCATCGCGTGGTTGAACCAGCGGAGCAGCTCCGGCACCTCGTGCACCGGCACGTCGGTGGTTGGGACGGCGCGGTGGCGCGACGTCGTCCAGCCGCCCGACTTGGCAGCGTGCGCCTCGGCGGCCGCAACCGCGCGCTCGCACTCGACCGCCGAGAAGAGCGGCGAGCGGCTCACCACCACCTTGCACGCCGGCCCGCCGCCGGCCAGCGCGTGCACCTCGCACGGCGCTGCCCCCTCCGCCCCGCCGGCCGCGGCTGCCACCCCGTCCGCGCGGTAGCTGCGGTCCTTGCGGCACTGCCTGCCCAGCAGGGCGTGGTGCGGCGCCAGCTCCGCGCCGGCGCGCCACGCCTCGTGCGCCGCTGTCCACCTCTCGCTGCCGAGGAGGGCAGTGCCCAGCAGCATCCACGCGTCGCCGTCGGTGCGACACGCAGACACGCGGGCTCGCAGCATCGCCGTCGCCGCCGCGAGCCGCCCGTCCTCCATCGCGTCGCGCGCCAGCGCAACCAGCGGAGCACCCACAGAGCCGCCCCTCGCCTCGTAGCTGCACCGCTCGCACGCGCAAGCAAAGGAGGCGCCGAAACGGGCGCGCAGCGCTGCGGCGCGCTCCTCGAGAGAGGCGTTCGCCGTCGGCACCCACGCGAGCGACGGCGGCTCCTCGGCCGCCGCCAGAGGCCGCAACGGCACGAGCCTGGCGCCTACCCGTCGCCAGCGGCGGAGGTGGGACGGGCGGGCGGGGTCCCGCAGGCGGCGGGCGGCGGCTCCGAGCGGGCGGCGGCGCACGTGGCATCGCGGGCGGCGCGTCCGCGTGCGGCTCGAGCTGCAGCTGCGAGCGAGGCAGGCACGAGTGCGACACGCGGAGCGTCTGCCTACGACGCGCCCGCGCTGAGAGGCGTGAGGGGAGGCGCGCGTCTTGTGCTCTGCCGGGCGGCGCGGGAGAGGTGCCGCGCGAGGGCGCTCACGCGCACGGCGGGGAAGAGGCGCGGTGCGCACTGGCTGAGCAGGCAGACCAGCCGCCTCGCCGTCACGGCGGCGGCCGGCGCGTCTGCGCCTGCGTGCGGCGGCAAGCCGTCCTCGGAGTCGGCTGCCTCGAGCGCGAGGAGCGCGTCGAGCTGCGCCGTCGCCTCGTGCACCTCTCCGCCCGCCGCAGCCGCCTGTGCGCACGGCCGCCACGTCAACACGTGTGCCGGGCGGGGCGAGAGGTGCGTGTGCCGGGCGGGGCGAGAGGGGAGGGGCGCGGCGGGCGCCCGATGGCCCCACAGCCTCCGGACGGCGCCGAGCAGCGCCGTCAGCTCCGCCTCTTCTGTCCGCGGCGGGAGCTGCGCCAGCCGCTCGCAGCGCGCCGAGAGCGGGTTCGCCACCTGCAGCGGCAAGACGCGCCGCTCGACAGCGGCGAGCAGCCGCGCGAAGAGGCCCGGGTCGAGGAGAGGAGCCGCCAACGCGCGGGCCTCCGCCGGAAGCCGGGAGAGGACTCCGGTGTGCAGCAGAGCCCACCCCTCCTCTGCAGCGCAGTCAGGCTCCTCGTCCTCACTGCCCTCCCCCTCCCCCTCGCCGCCGTCGGCCCACCGCGATCCGCCGGATGAGCAGACAAAGCTGTCGTCCGCCCACGCCTCCAGCCAGGAGGCGGGTCTGCCCTCCGCCACGGCGGTAGCAACGAGCGCGGCGGCGATGAAGAGCGCATCGCTCGGGTGACGCTCAGCGAGGCTGTCCAGCTCGTACAGAGGGTCGCCGCTGCTGCATCCTCCGGGGCACAGCAGCGCGTGCGCTGGCCTGTGCGCCTCGCGGCACGCTACAGAGCAATACGCGTCGACACACCGCGGCGAGACGTCACACCAGCAGGCACCTTCAACGCCCTGTGCTCTCAGCGCCCTGTGCTCTCTCCGGATTCTTTCGCGGCTCGTGCCAGTCGCGAGCGCAATGTCATCGATCAGCAATCCACATGGGCGCGCACATCGGGCGCAGAGCAGCGCGCTGCGCTCGCGACCACCACGATCGCACAGAACGAGCTCAGCGGCGTGGAGCGTCATACACACACAAAAGGCTCCTTGAACGATATCGGTGTCGAAACACCGCTCTGACAGCGCTCACAGCTGCGCTGGGGCGCCCGTGGCGGCCGGGCGTTTTGTTTCTTTTTTCACAGTTCTTGGAGATTGCCTCGATCCAAGGTGCTCCTTTATAGATAGCGAGCTGTTCATAATTAGCTAGAAATCGTGGGGCCGTTAATTATCGATAATTGTGCAGAAAGAATTCCGGCCTTTCGCTGGGCCTGGGGCTTCCTTTGGGCCGCGCGTTCCTACTCGAGTACACGTTACTCGCTGCCCGCGGCCGAGGACAGCGCGGCCCATGACGGGGCAGCACCACAAGAAGCCTTGCATGCCGCCGCCAAGCGCGCTCTACATGGAGCGACAGCGTGCCGCTCATGGCATCCCCGCTGCTCCTCGCGACCTCGCCCGGAGAGCATGACGCGCAACAACGGCCCGCAGACAGCGCCCGCAGCTCCGCGAACCAGTTTTGAACTACCCGAGGCCGAGGCGTTCTTTGCCGCCGGTTCTGGCGTGGGTCTCTGCAACCGGTCTCCCACCTGGCCTCGCGACGCATACTACGCGTTTTGCACACCGCTTCCGGTCTGCTGCCCTACGAGGAATTTGTGCTGCTCGCTGTCCTACAACGCCTGCTGCGCCAGCAGCGAGGTCGGGAGGCGCTTCATCTCGCCTTCCTGGTGCCCGTGCGGCCTCTGCACCTGCTGCTTCCCGCTCAAAGTCTGCGACTGCTGCTGCGCCTGCTGCAAACCGCCCGCTGACCGAATCAACTCGCTGAACTTCTGGATGCAGCGGATCATGGCCGCGGGCACGGAGGACGCGCACCTCCCGTGGCTCTTCCCTCTCCCCGCTGCCGACGCGCCGGGCTACGACGACATGACGCCTCCGTACGGACCCAACGAATTTGCCGCCACCGTTCGAAGCTTGACCGACATGCTCCTCCTTTCCGATCGCATGGCGCTGCTGTGTGTCGTACCAACGCGGCTGCTGCGGCCTATGCCGCCGCACCGGATTCGCGCCGACTACGGCCTTCATGCCCGCCTCGCAAGATGTTGCGACCGCGGGTGGGGACGGCGGTCCTCCCGGCGGCGGGTACTGGGCGTTCCCCTCGTCGTTTGTCAATGCGCATGGCAAGACCTCCGCGGACGGCTCCCGACGCCGCCAGGGACGAGGTACCGCGGTGCGGACGGCGAGGAGTACGAGCCGGAGACGAACGTGGCGCCGGGCGCGGCAGGCTCAAAGGTGATCCTCTGGGCTCGCGGCTCCGCCTTCATGGCCACGCAGTCGGCGGACTTTCTGTGCTTTCTCGGCCTGTTCCTGTCACAGCAGACGGGGATGTGATCCGTGTGCCGGCCGCCGTCGGGTGCGTCGGGATCTCAGATGGAGTGTGTCCTTTTTCTGTGTGCTACGGATCCATGCCGCCGCTGCGCCGTGTCAGAAAGTGTGTAGAGGTGACCTCAGGTCATAATGAGGTGTCAGGTGTGAGTCCGCGCATGTGGGTGTGAGCGTGTCGCGGACGCGGTGCGGGCGGCGCCCCGGCGCGCGCGGGCCTCGCAGACACGGGTACCCACACGCAGAGATATCGATCTCGCGGAGTGGCGGAGAGAGCCCGAGGGCGGTGTCTCACTCTCAGATCTCAGCGCATTGAGGCTTTATTTTTGGGTGGACGTGCAAAGACTAGACGTACCCGAGCGGCGCAAACCAGTCCCCGTTCTGCTCCATCGCCGCCGCGATGGTGGCTGGTCGCAGCTCCCGCACAAACGCCCCGGGCGCCACCGAACGCTTGTGTCCTCCGCTGGGCGCGAAGGCACCGCGGTGACGCCGGCGCAGCCGCTCGAGCAGCGCGGCGCGGGCGCCGGCGGAGAAGCTCGCCTCGAGCGGCGCGAGCAGCTGCGCAAGCCACTGCGAGAAGAATGCAACCATGTCCTCGTACCGCGACCGGAGCAGCAGAGTGCCGCGCGGAGCGGCGAGCAGCTCGGCATAGGCTGCATACTTGGCACGCATCAGCGGCGCGTTGGCCAGCACGTACTCGTCCACGCTCTGGTTGCGCACCGCCGCCTGCCTCGCCGTGTGCCGCCGTCTCTGCGCACTGCTCGCCTCGGGCGCCGCCGGGTGGCTCCAGCCAAAGGAGTGGTAGGCGGAGACGAGGGCGTCGAGTGGGTGGCGCTGGTGGAGGAGAACGTACCATCGCCACGGGCCGTCCCCGCGCAGGAGGCCCATGGCGGTGCGCATCTCGCCCGGCAGCCGGAGGGGGCCCCACACCAACCCTCGCGGCGCCGAGCAGCGAGGCCGGCTCGCGCAGGAGGAGGCCGCCGCAAGCCTCGCGCTCACAAAGGTGGTGCACTCGCCCCAGCCTCTGTCTCCCCGCCCGTAGAGCCGCTGCTGCATCTCGAGGTGGCCACAGCTAGGCGCGGCGCACTTGCGCCGGTCCTTTGGCCGGTATAGAAAGGCGGCGTTGTCCGAGTAGAAGCAGAGCCCGAGCGCGTCGGCGAGGTCGTGCAGCAGAGCCACGAGGAAGGTCGACCCGGTCTTGTGCGGCGCAAAGACAAGGATGGCGGCCGGGCGGCTCGCGTTGGCAGAGCCCCTTCCGGCTGTCGGGTCCATGGGATGGAGAGGCGACCGCGCGACGCGTGGCCGTTGAGACCGAACAGCAAATTTCCGGACTCGGCAAAGTCTCTCAAGCCTTTCGCCGGGTTGGGTTCGGTGCAAATTGACAGCGGACACAGCTTCTCCAGGGGCGCGGGCCGGGTGCGAAGGGGGCGACGGGCGCGACGGGCGTACCCACGTCGGCCGGCGGGCGAAGGAAACATTTCTTTCCACCGCCAGTGGTCGCCATCGGAAGCAAACAACGTAAGCGATTCGCACCCGATAATAAGCTATCGCTGTCGCTCCCCAGCGCAGACCGTGTCTGCAGTCCGCTCCGGGCGGCGGTCGTCGCACGTCGCACGTCGCGCCGACACACGCGCGGACAGGCTGAATGAACGTAGAACGAACGACGGCGATCATCCGCGTCGAGCGTCGTGGCTCGTGGTGGAGAAGCCAGGTGGTCCCTGCTGGGATTGAGATTTGACACCTCGTTGCACGTTGGAAGGAAGCCAGATCTTCACACACCGAGCCTTGCAAGTAGACGCCGTATAAATATCTTATAACACAGGCTTCGCGTACGCCGGCGTGCGGCGATACGATATCGCCCCGATCTGGAGATTGGTGCGGTATGCAATGTGTCCGCTCTGGCGGTCGAGTAGTGGCCCGGCGAGAGCGCGCCGCGGGGCGGGTGCCTCGAGAGAGTTTAAACTGCGCGAACCACGCAATCCTGTCGCCCCGGGGTGTCCGCGGCGTCGGCTTCGGGGTCTCTTTTTGCTCTCCGATCTCTCTCACACCGAGCCCAGCGCCGAGGCGGAGCACGGGCTAAGTCGCGCGTCACGGCGCGCTGAGGAAAGTGTCAAAGGATGGGACGGCTCCAAAATCGTCGCGGCGGAGCTTCTCGGTGAGCGCCTATTTGCGCACGCGGAGCAGTGACGAGGCGCCGCCCAGTCCGAGCGCCCCGCCGCGCCGGAGCGTCTCGGCCGCCGCCTTGAGGATGGCACGCTTCGGCGCCGGCAGCCCAGTCCATGTCTCGCACTGCGCGTACGCTTGCTCGGCGAGCATCTCCACGCCTGCGGGGGATCGCGCGCGGCGCTCGGGGACAGGGAGCGGGCGAGCGGAGCGGCAGTCTGGGACGCGCCCTCGAAGGCGGTGCACCCGGCACGGCGCGCCGCCGCGAGCAGCGGCGTGTCGCGCGGGCGGTAGGCGGCGTCGAGGACGACGGGCGAGTGGCGGCGGAGGAGCGCATCCGAGGGCGCCACCCCCGCCGAGCCGGGGATGCAGGAGACAAGGAGGTGCAGCTGCGGCAGCCCGCCCACCGCCGCGTCGAGATCGCCGGAGAGGGGGACGGCGTCGAAGGCGGCGCCGAGCGCCTCGGCCTTCTCGCGCGTCCGGTTAAACACGTACAGCTGCGCCGCGCCGAGCTGGCGAAGCGCGTGGCACGCGGCGCGCGCCGTGCCGCCCGCACCGAGCACGAGCGCGCAGAGCTCGGCCGGGGCCGCGCCGCCGTGCCTCTGCCGCAGCCCGGCGGCGAGCAGGTTGCGGATGCCCACCCAGTCCGTGTTGTCGGCGAGTAGCCGCCCGTCGGCGGCACGAGTGAGCGTGTTGATCGCGCCGATCACGGTGGCCGCCTGCGCACGGCAGGAAGGGGCGCGAGCGTGGTGGGGCGCCCTCTTCGCCGGTGCGGCGTCGCTGACGGAAGCCGGGCAGGGTTAGGGTTCGGGTCGGGGCTGGGGTCGGGGCTGGGCTCGAGCGCCTCGCTCAGTTCGTCCGCGTGCGGAAGCAGCGCCTCCTTGAGCGGGATGGTGATCGAGCCGCCACCGAAGGACGGCTTGCGGATCGCCTCGAGCGCAACGCTCACCTGCGAGCGCGGTCGAGGGGGGTCGAGCTGGCGGCGAGGCGCTGGCGGGCTGGATCGAGCGGCGGCGGCGCCTCGTCAGTCTCGACGGTGCCGTAGGTGTTGCCGCACCCGTTCGCCTCGAAGCCGGCGTTGTGGATGGCGGGCGAAGGCGAGTGCTTGGTCGGCGTGCCAAAGAGAAAAAACTCCTTGCTCGGCAGGTAGCCCAGCGAGCGGCGCACCGCCGTGATCTCCGCCACCGACAGCTGTCCGGGCGCGGCGGCGGCGGGGAGCAGCGGGTGCGTCACCGGCGTCAGCGTCGCGTTGAGCACGCGCGACATGCGGCCGAACGGGCCCATGGCGAGGGCAATGTGCGGCACGGGCAGCTCCGCCGCCGCCGCAGCGCTGTGGACGAGCAGCGCGTGCGACGGCTCGCTCGCGACGCCGACAAACTTTGCGACGGCGGCGGCTCCGCCGAGGCAGCACCTGCGGAGCGCCGTGATGACGCCCTCCTGCGAAGGCATCGGGCCGAGCTCGTGGAACGACCCGACGATGCCAATGCCCAGCCGTGCCGCGCGGGCGATCATGTCGCGCATCGGCGGGCCGTCGCGTGCCGCCTCGAGATCGAGCATCTCGCAGCCCGCCCGGAGGCCAACCTCGTTCAGCCGCAGGTACTCGTCGGTACTGCCGCCGAAGCGGCCGCCCTCACCCACCGAGCGGACCGTGTAGAGCACCGGCCGGCCGCCCGACTGCTTGCGCAGCAGCGCGAGGTAGCGGCGGATCGCGTCCGTCGAGGTGTCGGCGAGGAGATCGACGCGCATCTCGACGACGTCCGAGCCCTCGAAGATGGCCGCGGGGAGGGGCCGATCCGCAGAGAGCTCGGGCAGCGTCAGCGAGAGGAAGAAGGAGTACGGCCGCGCCGCCGCCGCCGCCGCCGCCGTGCCACGCACGCGGCCGAGTAGCGCTGCCAGCTGCGCCTGCGGCGCGCCCCAGTCCGACTCGCGCGGCGCGATGAGCACGTCGACGTCGGACACCTCGTCGTACCAGGGCGCGCGGCGGGCGTACACCTCGCGCGGCGGCGTGCCGAGGTCGGGGCGGCTGCCGTCCGAGGAGAGGTACGCCTCGATGTCCTCGATCGGCTTGAGAGCCTGCACGACGGGCCAGTGGGCCGCGAGGACGGCGCGCGCCGCCGCCGTCTCGACAATGCCGCCCCCGGTGGCAATCACGGTCCGCTGCGGCCTCGAGCGGAGCACCTGAGGAGGAGCGGGGTGCGGGCAGGGTGAGGCCGCGCGGCGCGGGCAGCGGCTCCGGAGGCGGTGCAGCGCGCGTCGACGAGGAGCGCCGCCTCGCGCTCCCGAAAGACGGGCCAGCCGTGCTGCTCGACGGCCGTCATGATGGCGCCGTGCCTCTCCACGTACAAGTGGTCGAGGTCGACGCACTCCCACCCGAGGGCGCGGGCGGCGGACTCGCCCAAGTGCGTCTTGCCCGCGCCCCGCATCCCCACCATCACGATGGACGCGTCCGCGGACGCGCCCGCCGCCGCCGCGCTGCTGCACGCCTCTGGCGGAGGCACGTCGTACGACAGGCCGAGCTTGGAGCTCATCACCGCCCAAAACTCGGGGAAGGTCTTGTCGACGCAGTCCTTTTGCCCGATGGTGATGCCCGGCAGCCTCGCGCCGAGCACGGCGAAGGACATGGCGATGCGGTGGTCGTTGTGGCACGCGATGGTCGCCGGTCGCGGTGCGAAGGTCGCCGGGTCCACGCCGGTGACCCACATGCCGTCCTCGAGCTCTCCCGCCTCGATGCCGAGCTTGCCGAGCTCGGACACCATGACGGCGATCCGGTTGCACTCCTTGACGCGCTGGTTCGCGATACCCGTCACCCGCGAGGTGCCCTCCGCCACCGCCATCACCGCCACCGCCGTCATGAAGGCGTCCGTCAGCGGCTCCATGTCCACCTCCACCGCCCGCAGCCGCTGCGACGGCGGAGGGCCGCTGACGGTGGTGCTGGTCCCGTCCTGCTGCACGGCGCACCCCATCTCGCCCAGCAGCGCCGCGAACCTGGCGTCGCCCTGGATCGAGTCGGCGCCCACCGTCTCGGCCGTCACCTTCCCGCCGGTGATCGCGGCGATCGCGAGCGGGTACGTGGCGGAGGAGGCGTCCGCCTCGACCTGGAGGGAGGCGGGGTTGGCGTAGACGGCGCGCGGCACCTTGTACACGAGCGCGCCCTGCCGCTCGACGGCGACGCCGAAGCTGCGCATCAGCGAGACGGTCATGTCGATGTACGACTGCGAGACGGGCGGCTCCTTGAGCACGAGCTCAACCTGCAGCGATGCGCCGCGGGCAGGTCGAGGGCGGGGCCGCGACGCGTCCGGGAGGCAGCCTCCCGTGCGCGCGGGCGGCGCGCCGGCTGCTGCGCGTACGGCGCGGAGAGGAGGACCGACGACACGAACTGCGAGCTCACGCGGCCCGAGAGCTCGATGCGGCCGCCCGGGAAGCCGGACGCGTCCACGCGCAGCGGGAGCGAGGCGGGGGAGGTCGCTGGCTCGGTGTGCTCGATCGAGCAGCCGCACTGGCGCAGCGCGGCGGTGAGGTCGTCGATGGGGCGCTGCTTCATGCGCCCGTCGCCGGTGAGCGTCGTCGCGGCGCCGGGCGCGTGGATGAGCGTCGCGCACGTCGTGAGGAACCGCGCCGCGGTGCCGGCGTTGCCGAGGTAGAGCGGCTCGGTGGGGGGGGCGAACTTGCCGGCGAGGCCGGTGAGCTGGAGGATGTTGCCACCGTCGAGCCACGAGAAGGGGCCGGCGCCCATCGCGGCGAGCGCCGCAATCATCACCTGCGTGTCGTCGGACTGGAGCAGGCCCCGGATCGCGACGGTGCCGCGCCCCATGGCGGCCATGAGCAACACGCGGTTCGAGATCGACTTTGAGCCAGGCACGAGGACGGCGCCTACCGGACGCGTCGCGGGCGTGGTCGCGCGGCACGCCCCGGCGGAGGGGAGGGCGCGAGGGCGAGGGTGGCGCCCGAGGGCGGCGCGGCGGGCGGGAGGACGAGCAGCGACGGCGAGAGGAGCCGCCGGATGAGGGCCGTGTCCACGGGCTGCGGGTGGTCGAACGAGCTGCCGATGGACTTGAGGATCGTGACGCGCACCCGGCCGGCGGCGTTCTTCTTGTCGAGCGCCATCTTGCCCATCAGCTCGTCGAGCCGCAGGTACTTGAGCGGGCACGTCGTCGGCAAGCCGTACGCCTGGACGGCGACGCGCAGGTGTCGGCACACGGGGCGCTCTCCCGGAAGGCTGAAGGATGTGGCATCGAGGCCAGCGGGCTTCGAGACGAGAGCTCAAAGGCGTGGTGGCTGATGCAGCCGACGGCGCGACATCTCGTGCGACCTCGGGCGATCTCGTGCAATCTCGTCCGATCTCGGGCGATCTGACCTTGAAGACACGGCTGATGCGGCCGACGGCGGAAGGCGCGAGCTGGCCGAGATCGCGCGCGAGGACGGCCTGGAGAGGGGTGGAGGAGGGGTGGGGGCTGGAGGGGATGCCACCAGCTCGACCGAGAGGGGAGGGGCGGGGCCTCGCTACAGGCCTCCGGGAGGGGCTCGTGTGGCGAGTGCAGGCGCAGGGGAAGGAGCGGGCCTCGTAGACGCATCCGATCGAGACGCACTCGCCGTGCAGCAGCTGCGGCGAGGCAAGCCCCTCGATGGCGTGCCCTACAGGACACGGCATGGACCCGTCGTGGACGCGCTGGAGGCGGCGAGGCGAGCCCGTGAGACGAAGGTGGTGCTCGCCGATGGTGTGGCCGAAGTTGAGTGTCGACCGGACGCCGCCCTCCTTCTCGTCGAGCGCGACCACCTCCGCCTTGAGCCGCACCGCCTCCGTCACCACCTAGAGGGAGAGGGAGGCCCCGGCCAGCGTCAGGGCAACGGGCGGCGCCGGCTTCTCTGCGCGCCAGCAGGACGCGTCTCGCCTGCTCGATGGCGTCCGGCTGCAGCGCCTTGACCTCTTCGACGCGCCCCTCGAGCAAGTCGAAGAGGGGCGCGTGCCGGATGCAGCCCATCTTGACCGCCTCGGCGAGCCCCTCCACCACCTCGCGCTCGCTCAGCGAGCGAAGCAGCTCCAGGTCGATGACGACGCGCCTGCGGGACGCGTCGTGGACGCGGCGTGTGTCGAGGACGTGTCGTGCACGTGTCGAGGACGTGTCGAGGACGTGTCGTGCACGCGGCGTCTGTCGAGGAGTGTCGTGGTCGTGTCCCTCGACAGCTCGACAGTGACGGGTCACGCGCCTTGGCTGGTGGAAGGCGCCCACCAAGTTCTTGCCGCTCGGCACGTTGATGGCCGTCTTGCCGCCGACGGACGAGTCGAGCATCGCCATCATCGAGGTCGGCACCTGCACCACCGGCACGCCGCGCATGTACGTCGCCGCGACATACCCAGTCAGGTCGCCGACCACTCCGCCTACAGGAAGCTTCCGAGAAGGTTCCGAGGAGCTTCGGGGAGCGTACCTAGTCAGGTCCCCGAAGCGACGGGGCGAGGCGGGGGGGCGGAGAGGCTGGCGGCGGCGCAAGGGCCGGTGCGAGAGTGCGAGGTGGTGGCCGGAGCAGGTGAGGCTTGGGCGGAGCTGGCGGCCATCGCGCCTCCGAGGGCGACCATGCACGTGTCTCGCTGGCAGCGGTGCTCGAGCATATGGTCCTCGATCTGCTGCTTGTACATGCGACACCTGCCGCAGGGTTGCGGGTGGCCAGTGTGAGAGCATGCGCACAGCCACACGGAGGACACGGCAGCGGCGCGAGCGGCGGCGGCGCACTTGGAGTTCTCTCCCGGCTTGACCTGGAAGGTGAGCGGCGTGTGGCCGGCCGCCACGAACGCGTCCACCAGTGTCTGCCCGTAAAGGCCGAAGACCGTCTCGTCCGACACGATGACGAATCGGGATGCCTTGATGCCTGCCGCCAGCGCCATCTCTGGCACCTTGCGGAGCAGGCCGTGGCCGATGTGGACCTCGGAGCCACCAATTACCTGAACGACCCGAACTTCACCGCCGTTGCGGCGACGCTTCGTCGGCGACTCAGTCGACATGAGGTCACCGTCGTCCGTGGTGTCCGCGTGGGGCGAGATCTCCGACACACTGAACTACACTGCGTGGCGAAAAAGAATTTTCCCAGCGCACTTGTGCCCTTGCCCTCTGGAGAGCCACACACAGCACTTCCAACGCTCCCTAAGGGGACTCTGGGCTCTCGCCTTTCAATTTTTCCGACGAGCTGTCCTTGCGCATCGGCTCCAGCTCGTCTGTGCTCGAGCGGCGGGGCGCGTTCGACGCGCTGGCCGGGCTCACGACCATGAGCACCTGATTGGGGGCGCGCGATCCCCGCTGCAGTCGGGCCACGGCTGCGGCGGCCGGTGGGAGGGCCGTGGCCGGTGCGCGCCAGCGAGGCGAGGAAGGCGGCGAGCAGCATGAGCGAGCAGAAGAAGAAGGCCGTGACGGAGTCCATGTTGTTGAGCAGCACCGTGACCACCACGCCGTTGAGCGGGACGCGGAAGAGGTTGTACACGGTAGCCCGTACCTCCTCCGGAACTAGCCGCGACTTGACCGTCCCGATGGCGGGCCAGTAGAGGCCAACACAACCCTCGAAGACGAGGAACGAGGCGAGGGTCGCCTCCTTGCTCCTGCTGTACATCGGGACGGCGAGCGCCACCGCACCGACGAGAGTAAGCCGGCAGATCACCTGACAGGGGGTGCGAGCTCGCACGAGGACCGAGGAGAGAGGGGTGGGGCGATCGGGCGCGAGCGGCTCACCGCGTCGGGCGACATATGGCGGGAGAGGATGGCGAAGAGGGAGGAGCCGCCCATGCACGCGACCATGAAGGAGGCGAAGATGAGGCCGTACGGAGGCGACTTGTCGCCACCGGAGAAGCTCGGCGTCCAATTGAAGACAAAGATGTACCTACGCCCGTCCGCGAGGCGCGTGGGGAGCGGCGGCCGACCGGACAGAGGCCTGCGTCGGGGAGGCGGCTGCATCGAGCCCTCGAAGAAGGAGACGACGGCGCCGCAGAGCCAGATCTTCGAGCTCATCAACTGGGAGTACAGCCCGCCGCCCACCTTGCTGTTCCCCTTGCTGTCGGCGGGCTCGCCAAAGTTCTCGCTCCACCGCGGCGCGATGATCAGCAGCACGACGACCAGGCAGATGAGCGAGAGGTCGAAGGGAGTGCAGTACCCGCCGTAGTGCCAATAGCCGTAGCCGAAGGGCGTGAGCGGGATGCCGTCCGCGGCAAACTGCGCGACGATGCCCGCCACGATGGCGCACAGCGAGTTCCCAAAGTACATCAGCGAGAAGGTGTCTGACAGCAGCGACGTATCGAAGCCGCGCGCATTGTGCTCGCAGACGAGCCACGACTCAAAGGCGGAGAAGAGGAGCGAGGTGGCAATGCCGCCCGTCACCCTACCCAGCATCAGCGTGTTGTAGTCCCGAGCGTGCTTGGTCACGCAGGACACAATGTACAGGAAGCAGTACGCCATGCAGGAGCGCTTTCTTCCGAGCCTGTCAGAGAGGACACCCGCGAAGGTCCCAAAGACCATCGAGGCGCCGAACCCGCCGATGAAGAGCACGGCGATGTTGTGCTTGGAGAAGCCGTACGAAGAGTACAGCGCGTACACGTAGGGCCCCTGCAGCCAGTCGGCCGTCATCGCGATGTAGTACACGCTCATGAAGCCGCGCTGGAAGCGGCTGAACTCGGCCGACGAGACGGTCTTCTTGCCGGTCTCCTGCCGCGCCCTTACGGCGAGGGCTGCTATGATCATGCAGGAGACGAGCAACCCGCACTCAAAGACGTCCATGTTCACATCCCGCGCCCAGCGGATAGTTGCGGGAGCGAAGAAGGACGGCCGGACTCGGCCGCTGGCCTTGGCAAAATAAAAAAAGGAAGGTCGATCTGCTAGTCTGTGAGAGGTTGGGGTGTTCACAGACCTTGTTATTGATAAGAAATCCTGCGCGCTTCTTCAAAAAGGGACAAAGACAAAGAGAAGGAAAAAAAAGGCTTTGCAAGACAGAAAATGACCAGTACACGCGCAAAGAGGGGGTGGTCCTCGCCCGCCGATTGTGGGGGATACGTGTACAGGCACACACATGCCGATGTGCGATGTGGTATATGTAGAGAGCTAGATATACTGAGTCACAATCTACTGTCACTGTGGGTAGCCGTAAAAGCCGTATACAGCCTTCTCTCCTCGCCGCGCGCGCGCGCTCTCTCTTCAGCCTGCCCGTAGGTTCTCTTCCGATCCGATCACTCTCTCCAGTGTGTGTGAAGAGACCTCACCGCTGGGGTCTAGGCACTAGGGACTAGGCATACACCAGGTATGTATTTTAGGATTTAGCTTAGCCGTACTTTGCTACGCCGCGCGGCTCTCTAAACGTAAAGCCGAATCTCGACGATTACTAAAATACACCAATAGAGAGAGAGAAGTTACACGGTCGTGTGGTGGTGTAGAGTAGGCGCTGTGAGCGGACACGCATAAGGAAGTGGAGAACCCCTTACAACTAACCGTCCCCCCTCCCCGCACCCGCTTCCTCCTTTGCGCTCCCACCCTCCAGATACTCTGGCTTGAGCGACACGCGAGGCCCCTCCCGGCCGCCCAAAGTGACGCTCACGTGCGCGAGCGAGCGCAGCAGCGTCAGCAGGGACGTGTCGTACGATCTGAGTAGCATGCTCAGCGTGCGGTCCGGCTTCTGCTCGCACACCCGAAAGACCAGGTCGGGCTTGCCTCGCTTCTCCTTGGAGCCCTCGAGCGGCCGTGACTTGAAGTAGGAGGGGTGGGCGTAGCCCGCATAGTGCCGGCGGTAGTGCTCCCAAAAGCGCGCAACGGGCACCCCCTCGCTGCCAGCCGCCTGAAGCACGCCCACCAAGAGGCCCCGGAGCCCGGGTGCCTGCTCCTCGGTTGGCTGCACTGGGATGGGTGCGCCGCTGACCGGGTCACGCGATGTCCGCAGCTCCTCGTTGACCCGGAGCTGCAGCTCGCGAGCGGCAAGGTGCGGACGATCCACCTCGGGGCGGCCCCTGTGCGGCGACGCCTTGGACGCACGGGCGAGACGAGCCGCTCGTGCGAGCGGGCGCATATACACACACACACACACACAGTACTAGGGAATAAGAGGAATTGCTTGCGCGGAGAAAACAAAGGACATGAAGTGGTAGACGCCCGAGGGTGGGCGACGGCTAACACCACACTTCTCCCCTAAAATCCCTGTGTGGTGGCGGCGTACCGTCCTCCCATCCCTCCCTTGCGCGCTCTGTTTTCTTTCTTTCTTTTACACACAGGTTAGAAAAAGAATTTCATCGCGCCGCCAGCAGTGTCCCCCACGCCCAGTGGACTTCCCTCTCTGTCTCTCTCTCTCCTCTGACCTCCCTCCTCCCTCTTCAGAAAGCTGAATGTTTTCAAAAAAACGGTTATACGTTAGCGCGTCACGGCCCCCGGCGCACCGCCGTGCCCGTGGCGACGTGGCGGCCCCACACGGCCGTTCGAGGCCGAAGGACGGCGATCGAGGCCGAAAGCGAAGGCACACCACACGATGTGGCGAGCAGGCGCCGGGCCAGCGGCTCTTGCGACCGACACACCGACAGACACCGACAGACGACAGAGCCACGCCCGGAGCGGACACGAGCGGAACACGGCGAGGAAAAGCGAGACTCACTGGCCCCCCCTCTCCTCCTCCGAATCGGTGGCCTCGAGATGCGACTCGTCCTGCCGCTGCCGCTTGGCGGGCGGGAGAACGGAACCGTCTCCTGCAAGCGCCGACGCCGGCCCCCCGGGCTCGCCGTCAGTGACGGATTCCGCGTTGGTGATGGACTCCTCGGTCAGATCTCCAAACGCCGTCTCAGAGGCCTCGCTCACGCCCTCCGCCGCCGTCTCGCTCGCGCTCCCATCCGCCGCCTCCTCCCCCTCGACGGATTCCGCCGCCCCGGCCGCCCCGGCCGCCCCTGCCTCGGCAGGCACGCCCGCCGCCGACGAGAGCGAGCCCACCAAGCCCGCCATGTCGCCAAACATGCCGCCGCCGCCGCCGCCGCCGCCGCCCCCCTCGTCCGCGTCGTCCGTCGCCACCGGGCAGCAGGGCAGCAGCTCGCCTGGAAGCTCACTCATCGGGCGCGCGTCCTGCAGGCCCTGCGGCGGGAACCTACTCCGCAGCTCAGACCCCTCGGGACACGCGGCGGGTAAGCACCGGGGCGGCGGGCGGGCGGGCGCGCACTCGAAGGTTGGGCCAAAGTTGAAGGTTGCGACGGCCGCCTTGTACAGCGAGGCGGCCGGGTAGTACACCTCGGCCCACACCTTGCATGCCGCGGGACTCGTGAGCTCTGGCCCCGCCCCCTCCCCGCCCCTCCCCGCGCCCCGCGTGCGCCTCCGAGTAGGCCACACCTTGCGGGACGCCGTTCTTGAAGAAGGAGATGCTCGAGCCCGCCGAAGGCACGCGCGTCCGCTCCTCCTCGACGATGAACTCCTAATTATTAAATAGAGCTAGTTATAACTAAAACTATAGCTCCTCCTCGACGATGAACTCCTGCCCCGCGCAGGAGCGGCGCCCGCTCGGCACCCCGTCCCTGCCCCTCCTCCCTCGGGAGGCTACCCCCCGCTCTCCTCTAGCCCCCCCCCTCCCTCTCCCTCTCCCTCACTCGGTTAACGACAA